CTTCTGGTGAAGGAGAGCTAACAAAGTGCTATATAATGCTTTGTGTTTAATGGAACTTGTGGTAAGAAGGATTGAAAAGCAATACAAGCAGAAAGGGAAATAATCTTGTCTTCAGCTCTCATTCCTTAATTTGTCCTTCTACATCCATTACAGTGCTATAACGTATCCTCCTTCATTTTCAATGAAAAGAAATCAGGGAAATAGAAGAAAACTTCACCCATGCGCCTGCTGTTTTCTTGTTGCACTTTGTTTAGTTGTGTTTTCAACTTTTTTTGGTTAGATCAGTTTTGTTGCAGTCGGTGAGTTCTCAGTTTCCTGTTCCCCAGACACATCCTCCTGGTTTATTTCTCCCTATCTGGGTTTCTGTTTGTTGCTAGACTGCCCTTGACAGATCTGTAAGGCTGAGTGGTTGTCCAGAAAGACAGTGCAGGTTTCCAAAATTGCTTTTTGAATTAGAAGCTGCCTGGTCTGCTTTCATGAAGATACACTGAGGACGTGATCGTGTAGAAGTCAGTCTGGCTCAGTACCTTTCATTATGTATTTGTTATCAGTGAATTCAAGCATCATATCTTGTTTTATTAAGTTCCAGAATTCCAGGGCAGGATTTTTAGCCATTCTTCGCTGAATATTCAAGGGAAGAAAAAGAAAAATCTTGTGTGTGTGTTTAAGATCTACTTTTCTCAGTGCTTTGAGTGTATAGTGCTTAGTTTCAGGTCTATGTATTCAGCTCCAAACCAGATATTGCTGAGAAGAAGCATCTGCCATGAACTCTGTGAGGCGAGCAGACACCTCCCTGCATGGGAGCCATTAGGAGAAAATCACTGTTTGCCAGGGGTCAGACCGTGGTTTCCTTAGCAGAATAAAGGAGGAACAGCTGCTCTGGCCCATGGCAGGGAGGGGACTGCTGTGCACACCGTGGTGCTGCCTGGCCTCCATCCCATCCTTTTTTTGGTCCTTGGGGGCAGAAGGAACTTGTTGCATCTGAATATTAGTTTAACCCAGAGAATAGGTGATTTTATTAGCTGTAAGGACCAGAGATAGCTTTTTGGATTTGCCCATGCTGGAATACGTGTTACTTGTTGTCCTGCTTCTCTTCCTCTATGAAGGTGGCTGAAGGCATCACCTGCATGCATGCAAGGCTGTCACCAAGCCACCCCCAAGGAAAAGGGGAGGAGAGCAGTGGGGCCTTCACTGTCCCACTCTCCTCTTCCCACATGTTGGAGGTTCCTGGCCCTTTGTGTCGGGCTGGACATCCCATCACCATTGCTTCCGAGACGCAACAAGCTTTACGTCTTCATCTCCATGAGCAGCACTCCCCAAACTGCCAGGCTGGCATGGCCACACAGCTGCCATGTAGTGCCCCACCACTGAGATTTCCCCTTTGGACCCTTTTCCAGGCTCTTCTTACTGCCCTTCCCTAGTTCTGCTGTTTCATTCATTCAAGTTGTAGTCTTCATTTCCCCGGAGATCTCCTCGCACTCCTGCTTTCATTGTTCTGTCTGTTGCAGAAATGCAGATTATCATCTCAAGGGCTCAAGTGGAGTCCAAATTCACTCTGAATTTCACTTCATTTCCTCAGGTTGGTTTGTTTGTTTCTTTTCAACCAAACACTCTATCAGAAAACTCATCTTCCTACTCAGTTTCTTCTGGGTGAAAGGAAAGGCCATGTGGTTTATCAGCCACACCACGTCTTTTATCTTCCCTTGTATTACAAATTCTCTGGAGAAAAAATTGTCTTTGTTTTCTCTCTTCTGTATTGTAAAGTATTGGCCCCATCAAAATTAGTTATTGATTGCAGTGTTTTCCCTAGAAAAGGCAATGACAGAAACTTTAAGCTTGCATGGAAAAGTTGAGTTGAAAAATGAAGTTTCTAGGAGACATTCTGAAAGATAAGACGTGTTCAGATGAGTTAGTTTTTGTTCTGCAGTACCGAGAAAATGGACGTAGTATTTTACTTAACATCTTCTGAATCCTAACAAACAAATGTTATTTCTATAAGGAGAAAAGAGATCCTTCTAATTTTCATCAGTTTTTGGATGAAAACATGCAAACATATCAGTGTACCTCCAGAAAATTCTGACCTCCCAAATCAACCATATTCTTCAGTAACGATGTAGAGGGATGGAGGATTTGAGGTAATTCTACGTAGAGTGGTCTACCTACCTTTTTTTTTTTTTTTTTTTTCAGAAAGGAAAAAAAATAGATCTAAAGCAACTGTTATCTTCCAGAGATCTCATGCTTTTAATGATCCGTTGTTCAGAAAAAGAAATAAGCGAACAAAAGCAAGTGCTTAGATTAAGACAAAAGTAGAAAAAGAAAAATAAATAAATAAAAGCAAAACCCAGAATATTTACCCAATTTCCATCTTTGATCTTTTATTTTACTCTTTTGCAATGCTGTGCTTTTTCTTTTTTTTTCTTTTCTTTTTTTTTCTGAGTGATGGCTAAAGTGACAGGAAAAAAAAATGTAGCTTGGCTTCTTAGTTCTTGTCCAACAGTGCAATTTCACAGCTTACTATAGCTATGGACTTGCTAGGAAAAGCAGGCCAAAAAAGTATAAAGCTGGTTTTATTTTCGTTTATGATTGCCATGCAGAATTGTTGGTGTTCTTTTCCTTGATTCCTCGTGGTATGCCCAGCTCTCAGTAATCCTACGCTGGCCTGACTTGACAGGGACAGCTCAGCAGAGGATCTGTGCCCAGTGTCTTAACTTCACGGTGTTGACCTGAGCTTGTTGTGTGTCCTGAGCAGTGCAGCATGTACACAGCTTCACAGCTGCACGTTTATCTTCATCAGGGGCTGCCCCAACCTCGGCAGTGTCGGGTCTCCTTGACCAGAAGCAGCACGTTTCGTTCAGCACATCTACTGTTGCAAGAAGGACAAAGTCCATCTTGTTTCAGAGCGAATTCTCTGTAGGAATCACGTGTTACTTCTGTCAGATGCTGGTGCTTTTGGCACAGGATCTCAAACCCACAGCCTGTTCCTACTGTTGGACTACAGCCCTCTGGTGGTACATGACCACTGCTTAACCACAGAGCTGAAACAGCCCTGAGCCCTGATCTTCCTGGTGCTGCCTGCAGGGATAGCAATATTCTGCTCTCTAAGTTCATACGTGAAACATGGCACAGTTATTTTCTAAATTCCCTTAGAGACAGCTGCCCTGATTTGCGAGTCAGGAAGAACAGCATCTGAACAAACCTCCTGTTTTTGACAGCAGTAGTATTTAGTGTTATGTGGTCCATTGGGCTGGGCATGGTGCCCTTTGCTTCACTCAGACAGCGTAAAATAAAACAGGCTGAAGTCAGCATCCAGCTGTGCTGCAGTGTGCTGGACATCATCCACTAGAGATCAATTTCTAAAGCAAATAGGAAGACTGCACACAAGGGTGCTTCAAAATGGGAATGTGTGGCTCTTATAGGACTGGGAGAGGTCTCAGAAGTCACTGTCAGGGCCCTGGGGGCAGTAAGGGGTTCCCTTGTTGTGTCCCTCTGGAAATCAGCAGCCTGCTCTCATCATTCCTATGGCTGGAGGAATGAAACCTCTCTCAGCCCTGAGTGTTGTTTGCTTAGCCTGATCTGTAAGTGCTTCAGTGACAGATTTTGCAGCCTTTTATTCCGGTGCTTCATTATTCATCCTGTTAGACCACTTTCCGCATAACTCGTTTGTATCTTAAATTACACAGTTTAAACCCATTATTTCTTGTTCTATTCTATTCACTATGGATGTGGAAAAGAAACCTTTTCTTTTTTTTTATTTTTTTCCTATATAATGGACTCTTTCTTATTTGAAGTTACATCCCTTTGAGTCTTCCTTAAAGCTAATCAGCCTCAATTCATCTCCTCTCTCTCATCAGTCATGTTCATGTTCGCGGAGAAGATGTGCCCTGAATGCCTTGCACCACCGCTCTTTTCAGCCACGCGATGTGAAGCGGCCTTTTGAGCATCAATTCTCTACATGAAGAATAACCTCAATTCTCAGCATGAAGAATAATCTCAATTTCTGCCTAATGAGACCTTGCCATGAAATGCGCGTTTAGAATTTCATTAGCATGCCCTGCTCTGAAAGTTTCATTCTGGACTAGAGGAACAGGATACTTTGGGCTATTAGTGTCAGGCTCTGAGTAAAACAAAGCAACTTCAAAGGACAGCAAGAGAGAACAGAGTGTAAAGCCCTACCGATGTCTGTGATCAGTTCATGGCAGCTAAGTAGGTAGACCAACAAGCTGTCGTGGTCTTACTGAGAAAATAGCAGGAAGAGGTTTTGTTTGGATGGTTGCGTTGTGTTTTGTGTGTTTGGTTTAAATTGGTTTGATTTAGCATGAGAAACTTGTGTTGGTGGAGCTGAACAGCGAGGAGCACATGCGGGGATGGTGGCACTGCTGAAATATGCTGAAGTTGTACATAAGGGTTATAGCCAATTTAGATTGCGAGGGAGTTCATGGCAATACAAGCAATTAAAGAGGAAGCAAAGCACCCACCGCATCAGGGCTTTATTGAGCTGTGCAGCAGTAGGTAAACACTTGTTCTGGGGCGATAATGATGTATCAGAGAGCACATTTACAATGCAAAGAACTAGCCTTCAGATTTTGTTCTTGCAAGAACAAGACGCATACCCTGGGAACAAAGAAGGAAAGATAGGAATTGTTTCTTATTGTTCCTTTTTATTGATACTGTGGGCAATGGGTAAAAGAGATTCTCTCTATGTAAGTGATTTTTTGATACATGTGCACTGATAAAAATCTAGGAAGCTTCCAAGCAGCAATTTGTCAGACATTTCATTAATGTGTTTATCTTTTGGTCTTTGAGCCATCACTTAAGCAAGAAACAGCCTTCAGGATCCCTTTGTATGAAATTCACCTTGGTGGTCCATTAGATGAGCCAAATAATTCAGTGCTAGCAGGAGTAGATTGATTTTTCCGTATTGCTTTTGACGTTCTTGGTTTGAAAAGAAACAGGGTAACAACTGCAGTCTAGGCTAAGCTGTTTTTGTCTTTCAGGTTGTGTCATTCTGGTTTGCTGCATTGGAGCGACTGCAAGCTCTCTGGAGGCCAGAATGTCTCCTCGTGCTCCCTCACTGAAAGTCAGAGCCTCTGTCACAGGGAGCCATGAGCACAGAGCGTGAGCCATGCATACTTGCTTCGCCCACAGTAAAGCAACGTCTGCAGCAAGCCAGCAGAGAAACAACCCAAGGTGAGACTTTACTGAGTCAGGAATCCCACTTAGAGAAATGCAGCCTGTAGAAGAACATGACAGTTTTGTGTTTATTGCCTAGAGAGTTAAAGTTCATGCCTAGTGTGGAGTCAGTGCTATTTCCAGCCTCAGGAGGAGGAGTGGGAGAATTCCCTCAAAGGCTATTTCTGTTCTGATAGGATACCTAAGGGACGTGTTTTATTGCTAAGGGACAAGATTTAGTGGGGAGATGCTGGTGGTAGGTGGCTGGGATGATCTCAGGGGTCTCTTCCAGTCTTGGTGATTCTATGGTTCTAAAGCTTAAAAATCTTTTGCCATTAAAAAAAGAAGTGCCCAGTGCCCACAGTCCAGCAGAATCTGGTTTCTGATCTCTTCTGGAAGACTAACTCTGTAAAAACATCAGCAGCTGCTGCATTGTTTGGCTGGGCAGGCTTGTCTCGCCACAGAACTGCAAATATTTGCGTGTTGGTGCTGCGTGGAAGGCTTTGCTTTCTGTGCAACATGAAGATCCCAAATATATATATTTAAAACTATCTGCTTTGTTGTTTAACTATTTCCAAAGCTGTGTACAGAGCTGAATGATGTGTGCACAAACCCTACTTTGATTTTCTGAAAGATGATTTGATCTTTCCCTATTTGCATTTCCAAATAATCTGAAGCAGAATAGAGAAGATGCAGAAAGCGTCCAATGGGCTTTTTATTCCTCTAGATACAGATTTCATTACACAGCGGCTGAATTTCAGAATCACCTGAGCACCCAGCATCTTTCTTCTCCTCTGCACCTGCTGTCAGTAAGGCCACTCTTTATTAAGGTTTCAAGATATATGGTCTAAATATTCGTACAATTGTGTCCGTTAAGAAATGAAAAAGTGACTTAAATGTAAATGAATTATTAACAGAGATGTCAATATTGCACTGTCTTGGTGTTGGGCTTTTTGGCTGTGTGAGTGCTTCTGGAGGAACAAAAAACTGTATACGAAGAGGTAAAGACTTCAAAAGAAAAAGTTACAGGATGTACATCTATCTCTATTAGAGAAACTAAAGCCTCTCTGGGAATGGTGGCATCTGAGGGGGGTTGAAGGGATGGAAGGAAGGATGGTGATTCCCCATGAGGTAACTTGATGTCTGCCGTGCCATGAAGGGACACGGCACTTAGCTATTCCTGAGTTGGACTACCAACTCTTTAAAGTATGCCTGTGATCCTCCTGCTTTCATGCCTCTTGTGCTTGGTAAACTTAACGCACGGGAAAGGCTGATGTGATGAAGTATGAGGTGAGAACCAAATGGACAAATTTTGTAGCTGGAGCAGGAGCCATGCTGACTTTTTTATATACCATAATGTAATCTGAAACAACTGCAAAACTGACAAATAACAAAAATCAAGCTGTTCCATCCACTCAGACCAAAATCCTGGCTCAGCAGGAGGCCTGTACACGGTGCCTGGAGACAACAACAAGGGACAAAGCTCTCCCCTGCAGCACAGCCAGGACAGGCTTTGAACTCAGCCTCTGAAACTGCAAAGCGCTCATTTTGTTGTCCATGGATAATCCACCAGGCAAAAGCTGGACATTGCTCTCTTTTATTCTGCCTATGCAATTGCAACTCTGAAAAAGAAAGCTCTTCTGAACTGCTGACGCCTGGACGGGCAGCCCCAAGGCGGGGCCATCGGGATTTATTTAGTTCACTGCTGCAGATGATGCCTTTAGTGCCACAAACCGCCCTGGAGACAAGTCCTAATCATCTGGGGGGTGATTATGGTCAATTCTTTCTCCCCAAACCCCCCAGACACAAATCAGATCCAAACTGGAGAGACAGGCAGGCACGGAAGAGGGGACACCGGCACCGCACAGCCCCCCCGAAGCCATGTACAGGAGCAGCTTCCTCCGCGAGGTTCGCAAGGAGAAGTACGAACGCTCGGACGCCTACGATGAGCTGCGGGGCTCCCCCGAATTTGACAGCTTGGCCCAAGCCCAAGGCCTGGAGAACCTGCAGGAACTCAACGAGCGCTTCGCCAGTTACATCAACAGGGCGCGCGTGCTGGAGCAGCGCAACACCATCCTGCGCAAGCAGCTGGAGACCTTCCAGCGCATGGATGAGCTGGTGGGCTTGGACGAAGCCTTTGCCGGGCAGATCGAGTTCAACCGCCAACGGATGCGGGAGCTGGCGTCCGACCGGGCCAAGCTGGAGCGGGAGGAGAAGGATGCCCAGCGTATGCTTGATGAGTACCGCAACAAGTAAGGCTGGAGGAGGGAGGGAGGAGGTAGTATTGCTTCTGTAGTTGTGTCCTAAGGATAGGTTTGGTCACTGGCTGCTTCTCTTGCATGGCGATGTCTCTCCTCGTGTTTCAGACTTGTAGGCAGGGATAGCATGCAGTGTGTAGGGAGCACCTGCTCTGCTCTTCATGCTCATGCGACTAGGGGGGCAGTGTTCCTTCACCATGGCACACGCTGTCGTTTCTTAGCTTTAGCAGTGCTGTGCTCTGAGCTGCCAACAGGGAAAAGACCCATTAGAAAACCATCCTGGCACAAAATGAGCCATGTGTCTGTGTCTAGCACAAAGTTACAAGACTCCAAACACTTCCTGAAACGCTTAGGACATCTCTCAGAAACTGTTATTATTTACAGATGTTGTAAATCACCTGGGCCAGCCTCTACGGATGCAGGATGAAAAAAGAGAAAGTAATTATTTTTCTTGGTATGTGAGAGGGATTTGCCTAGTTACATTCCTTTTTTCTCTCGTGTCCCAGTATTCTGGGACATGTTACTTAAGCAATACCTGTGAGAAAATTCCTCAAACTTCATTTCTCTTTAGCTTCATTGGTATTTTAAATAAGAGCAGGAGAATTAGGGGTGAAGCAAGCAAGTGCCTCCAGACACACGTAGTCCCTTCTCTTCAGCAGCAGCCAGTTTTGGCCATGTTGCTTAATTACTTCTACAGCAAGACCTGGTGAATGTTGCTGATAAATGGACTGATGATGGAAGAGAAGGGAAAATTTGGCAGCTGTATACAAGCTGAAGTGAAATTTTTCACTTCCCCACCAAAGGGTGAGAGAGGAAGACCATGTAAGCCACTTTGGGTTAGAAACACTTCTCACTAACAAGGATAGGAAGGAGGCAAATAAAGTATTTTCAAGAAACGGTCTTGATAGAAACACAGCTGCTCCCAGGCAGTGCTCACTGAACTCACCAAAAACATGTTTAAGAAGGGAGGAGGTGAATCAGCTGGAGGAGCACTGTCTTGCTGCTGCAGAAATATATGAGTCACTTGAGATTTCATCCCCTGTCACCACTACAGACTCTGGTCTGACCTTAGCCAAATCGCATAATTTTTCAGTCTGTTCCTCTACGGGTTTCCCTCTCCTCTGGACTAGTAAGTATAAGACTGATTGTATTTCCCTTCAGTTTCTACAATTGTTTGGGTTTGTTTGGGTTTTCTTCGTACAATTGGGAAGAGCCAGAAAGCAGGTGTGAAGCAATTGGCAATATGACCATCTTGATACCATAGTTTGATGATCCATCGCTCCCAGCAGCCATAACCACCCAAACACATGCTCATCCTGCCCTCCTGAGCCCAGCATGCTGCTCTGCAGTGCTGCCACAGCTATTCGTGGGGCAAAAAAATGAGCCAGCCAAAATAAATAAATATCAATAGCTCCAACCCAGTACCAGCGAGCTGCCACACAAAGAGCTCGTGGGAGCTGCGGCACAAATAAATCCCCACCCCTCATCTCTGTTTCTCGTCTGCAACAACAGAGGTCAACCCATGCAGGTGCACTGAGGCTTAGTGCTGGAAGTGGTCAGAAATTCATGACTCCCTGGCTGTGAGTCAATGAGTAATGAGTGCCAGATTAGGCAGCTCTGTATTCCAATAACCGTGAGCAGGAAATTCAGCTAAGAGCCAATGGTGTAATTTAACTGTCAACTTTGATACTTTTTTTGTATGTTTTAATTAAGCAGTGTCTATGAGATTTTGACTAAACTCGGTGCCAGCTGCCTATTAGTTAAAAAATATGTGCAAAATGGACAGAAATACTTTTTATAGATTCCTGCATCCAACTGCATGCTCTGTGGATTAGTGACCTGCACAGCTCCCCATCAGCAGGATCTGACACAGCATCACTTGCTTTTTGTTAGCAGTGTTTTGCATAGGCTGTGAATGGGGGGGGAAGAATGCCTGGAGGTCAGCAATACTCATAGAAAGCACTGTGCTTTTAGAATAGGAGGTTTAGGACCTGGTGCAGTGGTAGTTAGTGATTTCTCAGAAAAATTAGTTGGTGTCTCGTCACACAGCCCTGGGATGTTCACTCAGCAGCAGTAATCAGAAGTAGAAAGGAAACTCTGTGGGATAATCAGAGGCAGTTTGGTCAAAAAGCAGCCACTGCCCTTCCACTGCAATGGCCTTCTATATATCTGTAGCTTTGAACTTTGAACTTCTGATGGCATGGTTGTAGCCAAGGAACATGATTTAATGGAGGCTTGTTAGAGTTAGAGTAGTATGGTTAGGTTGTGGTTGGACTCTTGGACGCATCTTCTCCAACCTGAGCAATTCCAAGGTGAATTTGGGCTTTGTTTTTTCGCTTTTGGAAGCTGTTGAATTTGACTTGCAGAACAGGTGTGAAAGCTCCTTAAAGACTGTAAAATAAGGTTGGTTGCATTTAAAACAAGGTCAGTGCCCCAGCACTGTGCACCCTGAGTGCTCACCCTATTTCCTGCTCACAGCTATCCTGACGCCCGTGCTTTCTGCTCCTCAAATATGGAGTGATAACCATCTGTGCTGTGCTGGGGCTGTGCCACGCTCCTGCAGCCAGAAATGCTCCAGCACTGCAAAGCTGCTCTCCTACCTGCCTATGCCTTCAGTCAGCAGCACAGCGTCAGGGTTTCTTGATTCATTTTGGAACATAAAGCACTGACTTCTGGTGTGCTAGGATTGATAATATCTCTTAGAGAGTTGTGTGCTGAGTAATCATGGAATCATATCATAGAATCGTATCGTAGAATCATAGAATGTCCTGGGTTGAAGAGGACCACAATGCTCATCCAGTTCCAACCCCCTGCTATGTGCAGGGTCACCAACCAGCAGACCAGGCTGCCCAGAGCCACATCCAGCCTGGCCTTGAATGCCTGCAGGGATGGGGCATCCACAACCTCCTTGGGCAACCTGTTCCAGTGTGTCTGTGCTTCTCACCAAGGCAAAGAGTTTTAACTCTCACAATACATTCTTTTACTCACATTCACCGTTAGGGAAATAGATTTATAATACATACAGTACACCCTGGGACCACTTTGTCTGTAAAATTAGAGGTGTGCGAACCACTGGAAAGTATATTCTAGGTTTAAATTTATTTTTAAACCCTCTGTAGGCACGTCCATAGCTTTTCACATCAATGTGAATAGTTCAAACTGTGCCAGGGGAGAATTTGTTCCCTTGAAGTTAGAAAAAAGCACAGTGAGGAACTGTTTGGATGCGACTCATAAAAGGGCTAATTATGCTAATTTTTATAGAGCATCGTTACTACAGCAGCAGTACATCTGTTTGTGGGAAAGGACTGTATTTCTCTCTCTGTGATATCTAGAAAGATGCTAAAACCGAGATTTTAACATCCTTGACTGAGCAGGATTAATTAATTTCAGGAATTAAAAGTCTTGCTAATCGATCATCCCATTTAAAATTCATTCAGTGCTAATATTGTGGGTTTTGCATGCTGCATGATTCCCTGGAAGTCACCAGACATAGAAATGGGCTCCTATCTGCACAGTGATGCTCAGACACCGATGAGGGGAAATGAAAGCAGGTAACACAACACCAGAGCTGGGACTGTGCTGATGATGGCTGATGAGCATTGGCAAAGCTGTCTTCAAGCCTTGTCAGCAGGGGTTGTCTCTGCACTGCTGCTGCTACTCTGGCCATAGTTTTATCCTGCAGGTGAGGAGGTCCTGTCTGCCTCCACGCACTCCTCACAGTGCTGAAATCTTGCACTTTGGTAGCAGCTTTGTAATAACGCAGGTAGCAATCTGCTCACAAATCAGCAGAGCAGAGCCCACAAAGGGCTCGTCCCAGCCTTTAGGGTGTGAAATACAATCCTTATTAGCTTGTCTGTCATCCTCATAGGACTGACGTTTTTCAGTTTGTGCTCTCTTTGGTGCTCAAATGACTGCTGTTTCTGTTGAGAAAAGGCTGGTGAAATGCCTCGGGGAAACTTATACCTAGTAGAAAAGTTTTGTCTTGTCTTGTGATGTGCTGAGAAGCTTCCTGTATTGCTGGAAAAAACTCAGTAGGGCTCAACAGAGAGGCATCATTCCCGTACCTCTGTATATTAAAGGCACAGACTTGACACCAAATTGAGTATCTGGCCGCTGAACCTCACTAGGATGTATTGTGAATGTTTTCTCTGTGGAGAGAAGGCAGCCCTTGCATTGCATCAGAGACAAGGTGTGCACGAGAGAGGCCTTCCCTGCCACATCTTTCAGGAACAGCCTCAGCCTGACAGCAGAAGATGGGAAAAGTTGTTTGCAGCATCGCTTTCCAGCAGAGAATGAAGCCCAGAGTCAGGCTTCCCTCCTGCACAGCCATTGGTCACACAGGGCTGATGCCTGTAGCTGTGCAAGGGCTCAAGGAGCTCAAGAAATATCTGTAAGTACCCCAGCAGGGAGCTACTAACCTCAGAAAGGTGAGCTAATGGGATCCTTTACAGCTCTGTTCTGCTGTGTTTGAACATGGCAGTCACCTCCACTCCATTCTGTGCAAAAAAACAATGAATAATGCTTTTTCTAAACAGAGAGCAAAAACATTTGTTAAATCTGTAAAGCTATTTGTCTGGATGAGGAGGATTTTTTTCGTTGTTCATTTAAAGGAGCAGATGAGTCTTATGGCTCTTAAGGTCAAGGAAAGGTCAGCTAGCAGCTATCTAAAAAATGCAGGCCTCCTTTAAACATGTCCTGCTAATTGCTTGAACTTGGACATCAGGTTGGAAGTGTAAGAGCATGCAGCTTATTAGCCACTAGCATACATTTCAGCAGCACAGAGGCTTGCATGTTGCATCATGAAATCTCTGAAGCATTTCTAAGAGGTCCTTCACACTCTTGCACTGAGCTTACGCAGTACATTAAAATCCCTTAAAAGCAATCCTCATTCAGAGAATAATAATAGAAAACTAACAGTTATCCACAGCTCATGGCTGACAGGTGGATTTCTGTGTATGTGACACAGCAGAGATTTGGGTTATTTGAGAAGCAAGGAAAATGCAGCTGAGCATTTTAGTCATTGGAAGAATTTTTGAGTGAGGACCTCACAGCTAGCCAGGTTAGAAAAGGCCTGAATGGCACTGGGGCTGAAATTTAGACCTTGGCACTGTTGGAATTTTGCATATTATTAGGAGTACAAATCCATCTTTATATTGTAGCCATGCATCTTTATATTGTAGCCTGGCACAATCTGCTTTATTCTTGCCCAGTTGCCAGAAAATGTCAAGCGTCCACAAAATATTTTTAAGATAGAAAATTTGTTGGAGGTGATTTATTTAATAAATAGCAGAAACAAATGCAGTCTTGCTTTTGAAGTTGAATATTCTTGGTTGTACCCTTAGAAGTAAAACTTGTGTTACTGCAGTTTGGCAAAATGACATTGTTTTAGTTTTGTTAGAAAACAGCAGCTCAGCAGAGGAGGCCCAGCCATTTCATAGCATCACAGAATCATTGGAGTTGGAAAGGACCCTTAAAGGCCATCCAGTCCAACCCCCAGCAATGAACAGGGGGCAGTGAATAAGCACATTATACACCCATTGTTCACTCTGTATAGAAATATACACATTATGCACTCATTGAATTTTTATAAAAGCATAAGAGTTGTTGGCTAAATGCAGTCCATACTAAGACTGAAATGTGATTTCGACTAAACTAATGTATGAATTGATATTGAAGAGGACATAAAACTTAATCCATCAATGCATCCAAATAGAAAAACATTATTCTTATGCAATCAGTGTACAAAATTGCAACTTTTGTTTCATGTTTCTGTTATTTTTATTGAACACCAGCAGTTAGATCAGAAAATCAAATCAACAATACAGTGTAATTAAATGCTAATGTAATTAAATCTAATGATTCTATGAAATGCTAATGTGCCAGATTACTACCCATGTGGTAGTCACTGATGAGAGGTGGTCACTGTAGCCCAACACCAATCCATTACAGTTTTATTGTAAATAATCTAATTCTTGGGCTTTGTGTGTCAACGTGATAGCAAGTATGTGGCTTTCTGTTACCTGTTTCTCTGTAAGCCAGATACAAGAAGTTCTAGAATTATTCTCAGCAGCTGGGGGAAAAAAAAGTTATAGTAATGCATAAATAAATCTTCTGGGACTTCTCAAGGTTCGTCTTTTGCATTATTGTGAAACATATATTGTGCACGATAGGGCAGTTAAAAATGCAGTTTGTAGAAGGATGGGCAGCTGCACTTCGTATCCTTTGTTCTCTTTGCAGGTACCGAAATGAACGTGAATATCAGCAGAAGCTAAAAGAGACCCTTGAACGCCTGAATAAGGTAAACCTGGGAAAATGGAAAAGCAAAGGTCTTTGTCAGTTTTTCTCTTTGATTTTTTGACTGTTTAGGAACCTTGGGGAATTCTTACTGGTGCCTAGCTGCTTTTTATCTGAATTTGTTTAAAGCATCAGTGTCAGCAGAATGGAAAGTTCCACATGAGCACAGTCAGAAGGTATAGATAAATACCCAGCAAAGTGGGAAAGAAATAAAGAACTTTTCATTGCCATTTTTTCTTCCATTTCTAGTTTTTAAGTATCTTCTACCCAAGAGTTCTCATGTACAGCCTGTTTATATGTATATATATTTGCTCTATGCTGGCTGTTAACCTGTCAGAGCCAGCCAACCTCTCCCTTGTGGGTTGAGCACAAGTAGACACAGGAAAGGCTGATGCCACCCACCCAGCATGGCCATGCATCCTTGTTCTGTACATGGAAAAGGAGTCCAGAGCCCATAGTCACCATGTCCAGCTGCCATCATGCTGCAGTGATCTAAGGAGCAGTGCAAGGATTTATTTTAGCTGTCATGGAACTAATTCACAGAACATCTCTTGAACATAGAAGACTCTATCCAAGTTACCCTTTTATTTAAGGTTATATGTCATTTTAAAGCTGTTTCTAGTGCTTTAGAAATAGGAAAAGGAGCACCATAGTGGCATGCATACAAGTATTCAAAGCAAGGATGTAGTGTTAATAAAGCCAGAAGGTGTTAAGACAAGTAGGCTAAGGCAGTGCCAGGATTATAACCCTCATCTTCTGTTGAGGTCTTAATTAGTTTTGTTGTTTTATTGACAGTTGCCTTCTTGGTAAGTGCTGGCAAAGAACTTTTCTAGTCTGGCTCTTGCATGTATGTTCTTTCCTGCTGCTTACAGACAATTATCTTAATATAGGGCTAAATATGTGTTTGCAATGATGCTGGTGTCTCATTTTGTTGAGTTTGTTCAGGCAAAGGATCACTGGTGTTTAAGAATCCTCCAATAGTTCATTTAGTGCCTATTTCTAAAGATGTAATTCAAAATAGGTGCTCTATTTTGCATGATGGAAGATTTCAGATTGGGAATGATGTTCTGGAAATCTTATGGAGCCTCTAATAAAACAGAAAGATATTGAATTACAGGGGAAAAATGTTTTAGAGGGATACTTCAGGCAAATGCTTACATGGCTAATCTAACCAGATGGGATGGCAAGGAAAGCCTGATTCTGGTTATGCAGCACATGCTGTCTGTAGCCCATAGCCTCAGCTGTCCTCAGGACTTCATGAATTTTTCATTAAGACCAGGGACTTGGAGGATCTACTGTCTAGCACACCTTTAGAGCATCACCAGATGGCTCCTGCATTCGTTTTGGGACCTAGTGTTGAAATTTGTGTTGATTCTTCTGCATTCAATGTGATTTTGCAAATTCATACTTAGGTGCATTTAATAGTTCCATTCAGAAGACAGCTCTTCTCTGAATTTAAGTCTACACACACAGGGGCAGAAAGAGCCCATTTATTAGTCTTCTGGAGAATGAAGATCATATAGCCCACAATAAGACTGGAGAAAATACATTTGTTGCTAAGTACATTCGGGTTTCTAAACAAAAAGAAGGCAAAAAGCTCATGATTTGTTCCTTTCTTAGTGCAACATGAGGAATGGTTACACAAGGCTGCTGTTTCCTGAACTAATCCCAAAGAAATATTAATAATAATAAATGGTCAGAGAAAAGATAAAAGTTTACTAACATATTTAGGAAGTTTCCATACCAGGTCTGTGGGACAGCCCAATTCATTCTCCTTTGCTAATAGCTCTCACGTGAGTGAAGGAAGCTGTAGTATATCTTTCCTCAGTTCTGTTTCTCACAACTTCCCCTTCATCTTCTGTAAGTGAGAAACAACTGCTGGTGGATTTTTGGTGGACAAGTGGGAGATGTTTCGTGTGAGCACAGTCACGATGGCATGTTCTTTATATATATTAAGAAAATGTGTGTTAGCTTTTTCGTCTCCAATGAACTATAGACCTCCTGCATCAGTGCTATTTCCCAAAGTGCTAGCAGAGCTCTCACACACCCTGTGAACTCTTAAAAACATTGCTGGAGGTCAATATTTCGTAAGGCATAGCTGGAGCTGCTGGGTCCACCTTCATTATTCCTCTCAGCTGATTTGTGGCTGAAGAAAAGAGGACTGATGGACCTCTCCAGGCACAGCCAATGTGATCTTGAGCTGCAGGAAGTGTTTTTAACCCAGACTACAGCTACGCTGCTCCTTGCTTTGGGGCACCAAACAGTGAAGAGAGCACGGTTGACTGTATGCATAGTGCCCAAGATATAGCCTAGAAATGTGCACGAGCAGATGTAAGCATTTGCCTTTTCAGATAGAAGGAGAATCAGTTTGGAAATCAGCAAACAGTGACTGGTGATGGTTCTTTATCACTTGGATCAACTTTCTGGAATCAGCACCTAAGGCAGAATGGTTTTTGCTTGGAAGTGGAGTGAATAGCAAATACTGCAAAGTTCAGGAGCAGATGTGTAGGCACTGTCTTGTTTTATTATAAGGCATCGTCAATGAAACAAGTCTGTTAGAAAGAAGGAGAAAAAGGGAAAATTTTCCCCCTTTAAAGGAATGTTTGGGAAGCTGAACACTGCTTTTGCTTACTACATGCAGAAATATGTGCTTACCTAAGGACCGAGGGGCTTTTTTGGCTGCCCACAAGCCTCCTAACGTCACCATTGTTGCACTGATCTTCTACTCAATGGGTTGGCAGTGGATGCAGAAAAGCAGGGTGCAGTCATGATGACTGGCTGCGAACATGCTGGTCTGGGCGAGCTACTGCCTCACAAAGCAGAGAGATGGCTCTGGAGCAGAGTGGGTCCATGGGCAGCCTCCCAGTGTGTCAGCAGGCCTGGCTGGGAGGCTCAGCAGCATAATGGAACAGCAGCATCTGCACATTTTTGGAATAGCGCATGCTGTGCATGTTAAAAAAGAACAATCCCCTTCTACCAGTCACATGCTGTGCCCGTAGATTTTAGCATTTTATCTTCAACCCATGATCTGCTCACTGAGACAGAATTACACAGTGATGGCACGTCCATCATTTCAATGGGGCAGCTTTCGGTCTTGTTATCTTAGTAACAAGAGTCAAAAATCTCTTGCCCTTAAAAAGCAAAATGAGGGGTGACACTGGCTCAGCTCTCCTCCTCTTTAATCTTTTCCTTTTCTAAATAAGTTGGATGTTGGGGAAGGAATGCATAGCCTCATGTTTTGGTACAATGGCGTGATGCTCAGTGGGGATTTTTCAGCTATAGTAGTCAGGATTTATATCCACCAGTTTTCAGTCCAATGAACTATGCAGTCAGAGTCCTGTGAAGTATGGCAAAGTTTTCTGAGAAACAAAAAATTGAGAAACATCAACTTTGGGACTACCACGAGTGACACTGATGGTGAAATTCAGGTTTCTTGCTCTGTTCTTATCTCTAGCGCCAAGGATGAGTTTGAGACCTTGACGTATAAATAACAGAAAGTTCTGCAGCAGACCAACTTTTTGGGTCTTGCTCATCTGTCATTTTTAGTTCCAGAAATGGCTCCAAGTCTGACAAATATTTGTGATATATGAAAAAACACCAAAAGGAGAAGTGGAAATAGTTTGGACCAGTCTGTTTGTTTTCAAGGGGACTTTTTGCTGAGAATATTAAAAATGACTCAAGATGCCCTATCATAAGCACTAGAGAAATCAATGCCTTACTCTGTTGATGTCATCTGTTTAAGATTCATGCCCCACTGCAGTCTTTTAGCATCACCAACCAGTATTTCACTGTGTCTATCCCAGCATCCATAAAGCATACAGTGAGCATGTTTTGACACTGCCTGTGCTAAATTGTCCCATAAATTATATTTATGCAGAAGAGCAGTGTGTACAATGGGAGAGCACGATGTATAAAGTGCTTATTGTTCATTGCTTTCAAAATCTTTTTATTTCTCCCAGCAGACTTTAGTTCTCCATACACCAGTGAAGCGACTCGCATGGTGGATCAGTGGCACTCCAGCCCTGTGTACTGACTGCATGTCCGTGTCTCTTTGTGCGTTGCAGGAAGCAGATGAAGCACTGCTGTGCAACCTGGAGCTGCAGATCGAGTCCCAGTTCCTGCAGGATGACATTAATGCCACAAAAGACAGATATAAGAAGGTAACTGGATGGATTTGCCATCTTTTTTAGAGCTTTCTTCTAGAGACACGTGTGAAGCTTTTTCCTCTCCATGGTCTGTTCCAGAGGCCAATAAAAGGAAATCCAGTTTGTGTTTTAGTGTGTAATTTATATGAGATCAGTGATCACAACAGCAATAATTAGGTGGCTGAAAGCATTTGAACTGACTTACTCAGAATCCAGTATCTACAGCAGTAGCAATGTTTTGAATTTCTTGACCTGTTACCATGATGTGGGTCCTTTCCAGCTGAGGATATTCTATTATGATTCTGCAGTTCAACCCAGCAAGCTGATCAGGCTGTCTTACATTTCATGCTAGGAAGCTATTGGGTTTGTGAAAGGGAGGATCCTGATTTTCTGGGCTAGAGCATTCTGGTTAGTCAGTGGACATTATCCTGTGGCTGTAAAATTAAGTTGCTGCCAACTCTAATAGATGCATTCCCCTTCTCCTTGGGAGGGCAGTGGGATCTTGTAGCAGGCCAGAGCCTCATCTTTGCCACTTTTGAAAGAAGCAGCTTCTCTTTTAAGACCTGTGCAAAGTGCAGAGATGCTGTTTGGTCCTGTAAAACTGGAAGTCACATCTCCTTTAATTAAGACTGTGTAGTACATTGTAACCTATATCTGTAATACCCCAAGTACAGTAAATCTCTTAGGACACAAGCAGTTTAAACCAAGCCTAAAATTACTTGGCAAAAACAAGTCTTAACATGATCCGGACTTCCATGTGTTGGAATAAATAAATATCTAAGAGTAAGACTCAGAGTAGAGCATTACAGGCAGCTATGATATTTTCTGACAAAAATGTTTTTTGCTTTGCCACAGAACCTCATGGAAATCCAGACCTATGTCAACATTTTACAGCAGATCATCCAGACAACCCCTCGCGTGTCCCCTATAACTACTGGCATATCTGAGGTAAGTGTTGCTGTTGGTAAATGCATGCTGCAGGGTCTGTACTGAGTGAAAAATAATCCATATTGATTCCTAAAGCATACCAGATCTCCCAGCTAGTTAGATGAAAACTGCAACAAATGTGATTAAGGACTGAATATTGATCATGAGAAAAAACCTAATTGTAGCTTTGGGAAACTGAAGTGAGCAAGAGAAGGGACAATGTGTTAGACAGGTGCATGTCAGCATGGGTGTTAACTGCAAAAATGGGTAGACGAAAGGTGGTGGAAGTAGTTTGCTTTCAGTGTGAGCTGGAGCTGGCAGGATGTATGCATATTTACAGAGAGAGTAAATCTTGTTGTGAGAGGCATGATGTGAATAATTGTAGATAAATAGCTACAAACAGGATGAAAACTTGGTAATTCACACCAATCTGAGTAGCTGCATGAAGGACATTTATTAGAAGAAGACACAAACAGTCTACTTTCAGCACAAGCTGTGCTTTTACAGCACTGTATCACAGCTTTTTTTTGTCATGCTGGAAGGGTTTTCTTGAGGTTCAGTACCCAACTTTTCATTCATCTGTTGTCATTTTCTGTTTGCGTTTATGGTTTATTTTCAGTGGTAACTTTATTTAATAGAAACATACATTCCTGCACACATGTTGTTTTCTTCCAACCAGGAAAAACTTGTAGCAGAAAGGAGGATCCCTGTTCTGCAGAGCCAACTGGAGGAATACAAGAGCATCCTCTGCCAGCTACAGGCTCAAAAATACAAGCTGCAGACAGAGGTACTGCCACTGTTAGACATAAATGCAACCACGACTTTATGGTATCTATGGGCACATGTTAAAAATTGAAAGAGAAAAGAGGAGAGGACAGAGGGGACAGGAGATGGAACAGCAGAAGGAGGCTACAGTGAACAGAAACCAGTCATGTAGAATTGCATATGGCACATCTGTGAAGTGGAATGTTTTCTTAGTAGATAGATAGGACTGGAGAATGATCACCACATCCCCTCCAGGTGCAGCTTCTTTTAGGCCTCAAGATGTCAGTTCTCTGTATATGAGAGAGGATGACTGTAGCAACATAAAATAGCTTTTACTGGGATTCTGAACTCCTTTTGACAGCCACAGCAGCAGCTGAGTGTAGTTTTTCTCACCATGTTACTCAGGGACAGTGATACCCCTGGACTCTTTCTCAAGTCTGAGAAGTCAATGCTTTGGTGGAAAGGACATATGGGCTCTGGGAAGGGCAAGAATCAATAGAGTAACAAGTGAGACTGTAAGTCCATGTAGATTTGAGGAGAAAATCAGCCATCTCCTGGCACCTGAAGAAGCATGCTGTGTGGGAAATTAATCATGCTGCTTTCAAAATCAAATCTTCATATCTCATTACATCTTAATTGGTTCATTCTCAGGCCTTAAGATTAAGAGTTAAATAGCTTTGTGTGGAAGTTGATGATACTGTTGCTTGCGACAATGAAGGCTGGATTTGATGGCTGAATTGTCACTGAGGTCCTTTGCTTTTCATTTTCTGAACATGAGAACTATGCTGCAGTGAGTTTATCAGTTCCACCTTCTCAGCACTGAATATATACCTGTACACTCATCAGAGCTCTTACACTACAGTATAACTGAATCAGTGCTAGGGGACTTAGATCCTAAATTTATTCTCTTAAAAGATTTCTGGAAATCCTGCCTGTAAAATGCAGAAATCATTCAATTATTAAAGAACCCGTTAACCAGTTGTAGCCTCATCACATTTTTGTGAATGCATCTCTTTAATAAAAGATGCTTGCAAAAGGAAAAAAATCCCAAGCGATAGATGAACTATAACAATTAGCCAAACAGCAGATGAAAGTGAGAACAGATTTGGTGAAACAGCCCACATATTTAGTTCCATCCCTTGCTTTGGAAGGGCCTCATCGCCACCTCCTGGTTAGTGTACATCTCAGTGACTGGCACTTCAGACTTACTGCACAGATGTTACTTTTGTTTACCTCTGTGTGTCAGCAGTGCAGCTCAATAGATCGTGTCTTGCCTTGTATCCCCTTTGAAATACCTGTCAGATGGGGGATACCTGATAATTCAAAGCTGATTCTGTTACTCCCCAACTTTGTTTGCCAGACAACTATGCTGGAACAAGCGATAAAAAACACCCAGGAGAGTTATGACGACGAAATTCAGCTTTACAACGAGCAGATTGAGAACCTCAGGAAGGGGATAGAAGAAGCAGAGAGGACCTTGGAGAAGTACACGACTGACTGCCGCCAGCTGGTGATCTACCAGCAGTCCTTGGAGAACGAGCTGGAGCGCTACAAGCGAATCATTGAGAATGAGGACAGCCGGTAAGGCCGGGTTCCTGCACTCTGTTGGAGGGCTCAGGGGTCTCTCTTACCACATTTGAAAAACAAACAAACAAACAAAAAAAACTGTAGTATTTTCAAGGGCATTTGATCTACCCACGGTCATTTCACATCTTTCATTGGTATTTTTCCAACAACAGTCTACATAGATGCAATACCTACTCATGTCCCTACCAAAGAAAGGGTCAGAGCCATTCTGTGCTTCTCCTTTCAGTGCGCAGAGGTCAGAACCACATGGAAGCCAACTGAATGCTCTCTCTGCTGCCTGTGTGCAGTCACCCTTGCTGGAGCATTCTGGGCAGGCAGAGCAAATGTTTTGCAAAGCAAATCTCTCCTCCACATCAAATCCATAGCAAGGGAGGGGAACAGGGTGCAAGATATGTGCAAAGCTTTGGATTGTGTTGAGGTCTACCGAGGAGCTCTGGCACCCTCTGCTGTCAACCATCTGCTTCTCCAGAGGCTGACTTTCTGCATCTCATGTTGGACAGTGTGTTCTGATGAGGGGTATCCAGTAGGGTCATTTTTTGCACTGAAAACCATGCCTTGGCCCTCTCTCCTGACTGCGGGAGGAGCTGCAGCCCAAGGCTAGGCACAGAGATACCCATCGGAGTGTCTTCACATCCTCCCTACAGGCAGAAATATTCTCTCAAATTCTGGCAGAGCAGACTGGTAAGGCCACGGATGTGGTGATTTCATATAAGCCAGCCTCTCATTGTTTTGTTGTTTTGTTTTGTTTTGATTTTTAACCCTTAATACTACCAACTCCACAAATATTTTCCAAAAAAGACTGCTCAGTTTTCCTCTTGCCCTTCCGAAGTCAGGCATTAGCAGGTAATGTCTAAACATTACCCAATTTCATATTTTACTGTCCAGCTTTTACAAAGTGATGATGTCATTCGATGAATACAATCTCTGACTGGTTCAGAGAGATTGTGCTGTTCAGGAAAGCTTTGTCAGTCCTTCATTCTTTGAAAAATCACATCTATTTCAGTTACCTCAAAGAGAAAAATCCCCACTGCACAGAGACCTCCTAGAGGTTTGGCTGTAAGAGAGCATAGGTAACGCCATTGCAGCCCTTATTTTTTCCTTTGATACAAAGTTACTCTCATACTATAGAGGTTAAATAATGCATATGAACATATCTTGGATACCAGATGCAAAGGATGGCATTTTTTCTATGAGATACTCAGCCAGCTCCAGGGTAAACACAGAAAAAAGTGTTGCAGAGGGTCAGTGAGACAACTGATTGAAAAAGCTGCATGTGCAGTTTTGCATCTCCTTCACAGTACTGTACTGGGGACTGTTGTATAAGTTGGTTTCAGTTGAAGCAAATTTTATGGTCCAAGACTTCTCCCATGTACTGTCAAGCTCAGAAAGCACAGGAGCTGACTAACCTTGTGCCTTCTGATTTCTTTGCCAAAGAGGAGCTCAGCATGGGAACAGTTCTTTATCAATAGCTTAAATATTTCTAATTTTTCAGTACTTAGAGACTTGCTAAGGCTTTTTTCCTCTCCCATGACAGAAGAAGCCACTCTTAAATGATATAAAAGGAAAAACAAACCTGTGCCTTTTGATGTGTGGCTGTCTGCTTTCTCATTTGCATCATATTGCCCCTTCTTCTGGGGCAGGGCTCATTGTCCCTGTTTTGTCCCAAGCACTGCTGGGGGCTGAAGTACAGCAGCTCTTGCAGAGGCACAGCTTTGGGTAAGCATAGATGGACAGTTTGCCCTTCAAATCTTTCTTTCAAGGTGTTACGATAAATTACAACCTGATGCTGCAGTTCTTTACTATCTGTGTACATCCCAGCTCCACAAGGCACTGTAGCTGTGTGGCTCTCACCACTCTCTGTATAACTCCTCACCACAGAGAAAAACATTCTTCCTTCAATCTCCATGTTTAATTTTGCACAATTTCACTTGCTCACGGTGGAAATGAGGGGGAGAGGTCTGACTGTTGCGCGTCTTCTCCGGCAGGTTGAACTCTGCTATAGCAGGAACGCCAGTCACACTCTTCACGCAGATCTATAGACCTGTCCAGCCTCAAGCTTCGAGGGGAAGAGGTAAACCTGTGACGTGTCTTCCTGTGTCTGTCATGAGCAGCATCACTGTAATTTAAGCTGTTTTTCCGTTTGCCTTTCATACAAACACCAGCTGTGACAGTCTGACTCAAGGCTTGCTTGCTAAGTGAATGCAGCAATTTCAGCTTTCCTCAGCAGGCCTTGAGACAAGCTGTCCCAAGGCCAAAACTCCAAGCCAACTAATTTCTTTGCTTATTTTTGGAATTTTCTACTTAGGCCAATCAACAGAACCAAGTCAAAAGACACCTAAAACTACTGAAGGATTGGAGTTTATTTTGCTGACTTGTTGCAAATTGCTGTCCCACATTTCAGCCATGTGCAGACAGCATCAGCAGACTGGCAGAGAACGCTTTTTGGTCCTGTTTATGGGCCATAGCAGGTTAAAAAGACTGCAAAGATCTCCAAGTCCAACCCCAACCTGTCCCCTCCATGCTCTCTAACCATATCCCTCAGTGCCACGTTTCCACAGTTCTTGACATGGTTACTTCTAAATAAGGTGTTTCTAGGGTGTTGTAGGATTGCCTGTTTGAATTAGGATGCTTGTAAACCTAGTGACAAGGGACAGGACCAATAGAGAGGACACACTTTACAAGAATAGAATCTTGTTCATAGCAAGATGCGGTAGGTGCTGGCATACAGCATCACTCACTGCAGCTTAAATCCAAGGTCACTGGAGTTTTACTGTCAGCAGACCACCCCTCAGAATGAAGACAAGCTGGTTTTAGGAGTACAGGTGTAATTTTTCTAACTGTTCTGTGTCATGTAGCTGTTTTAATCGAAAAGGATCCATAAAGCATGAGGCCATACCCTCAGGTTATAGATGTGGCTATCTCAGATGCAAAATGACTGCTTGGCCAAGGGGGCCCCAGCAAAAGAAGAGGCTGTCTTATGTGTGCTAGTAGGAGGTGTGCTCACGTTTGCTGCTGCATTCAGCTCTCTACCTGAGGCAGTGAGAGATGGCTCCAGCATTTGCAGCAGCTGTGTTCAGGACTATCTGTTGTTTGCTTTGTTTTTGTTCTCCCTAGATATCACCCAGGCTATGCAAGAGATTGCCAGTGTAAAGCCCAGACAAAAAGCGCTGACAAAGAAACTTTCCAGGAAAAAGGAGATCATGTCTAAAGACATAACCGACGGGCACTCGCCTGAAAAAATGTATGAAAGAACTGTGGAAGTTTTTGACCAAGATCAGCTGGAATTTAGACATGAAGGTTCAGTCACATGTGAACCTGGGCAGGAGGAATTAGAACTTGTTGAAAAAGAAGCAGTCCCAGAGGACGTACCCGATGGAGCCCAGATAAGTAAAGCCTTTGATAAATTGTGTAACATTGTGAGGGAGAAAATCAGAGTTTACAAGAGACCAGAGGCTAAAGCTGATTCCCACCCCAAAGGGCGTTATGTGCTGGTAACAGGGGAGGAAAGCTATGAAGAACCTTGCTTCTCGTCCATCCCAGCTGGGGGAGGAATCACAGTTTCTACCAGCAATGGGAAGGTAACGATTGGTGGTGATGTAGAGCCCATACCTGAGCTGCCTGAACCTACCGAACCATCAGAAAAAGAGAAAAGGGACATCTGTGAAAGGAGGGACGAGATTGAAACCCAAGATAAACTGAAAGAGGAGGAGAAAGAAGACCTGTTTGAATGGGGCAAAATAAGGGGGAAAATTGAGCAAGTCACAAAGTATCCAGACGTCTCCGAGCCCGAGGCAGTTCCTTCCCCAGGTCTGATAAGCCCAGCTGAGCCAGGAGTACTTCAAGAGGCAGAGCATGACCGAGAGGGCCTCTTGTTCCGGGAAGCAGGCTTGCCTGGCTCCGTGAGCTACGAGAAGGTGGAGGTGGTGGAGTCCATCGAGAAGTTTTCGGATGACAGAATTCAGACATATGAAGAGACAGCTATGATTGTGGAGACGATGATAGAGAAGACGAGCAAGAAGAAACCGGGTGATAAAGGCTCTTAAATGACAAGCAGTCAACTTGTCTGGCATAGTTATTAAATGATGTAATTTTTTTTTTTCCTGATCGAATGATACAATAGTGAGATTTTTGCTGTTTGGTATGGAACAGATTGATACTTTGATGGCAAAATTCTGTCTGATGTAGGCTCGCCTGTGTTGTAACGAATGTGAGACTGCTCCAGGACAGGGAGTAATGGGCAGATCCTATGCAACTTATTTTCACAATAAGGACAAGTTGAAATCAATCATCATTACAGAGCTGCCTGGCTTTCCAAAGTATCCAGGGCAGATTTGCCAGTGCGTATTCCTCTACTTCTCCTATAGCTGCCACAGGATTCCCCATCTCTCAGACAGCTGCAAATGTTAACTTGTGACATCCGATTCATTTAATAAAAGCTTTGCCTTCTACAGAAAGTACCCACTGTGGGTGTGTGTTGCCTTTACTGTTGAATAACAGGCTGAACTGCTAAAAGTTAACCGATAGATGTGCAGGAGTCTTTCCAAAGGAGGAGCTGGAAATTGAGTTCTCTAACCCATTCCAAATCTCTCTCACTTGCTGTCTTTTTAACTAGAGGTGACCTTGGCAGAACACTCTTTGTGGATATGGAGACAAACCTGCTGTGCTTGAAATAAGCTCCTACTGCACATCTACTCAGAATAAAAATTGAAGTTCCACCAAAATAAAGCAGGGGAAAACCCTTTTAAAATACTCTAAAGGTGTTATTTTTTCCTTCACCAGTATAACTGAGGCATTTACGAGCGCAAACAAGCTTTTGAGCAGACTGCAGGCAATTCAAAAGACTCTGTTTGTTTGTTTCATTTTTTCTTGTTGCTTATTTCCTTGGATTGTAGCATTGTACAGAGTTTGATGCTGCTGCGTGATCCCGTTGCATCCTGCTTGCTTGCAGTGCCACAAAGCTCCATGGGAACAAGGGCTGCTCGTCCGTGTGCCTGGAGAAGCACAAAGCAGCACTCCTGCATCAGCTTCTTGCAGCTTCCAGAAATCCTTGACTCAGGAAAACAAAAAAGAAACAAAAAAAGGAGAAAAGAAAAAGCAAAAGAAACCTTTGTGCATGTGCTAATGTAGAGCACTATCTAAAATAAGGCCTGAATTCTGTTGTGCTCTGAGCTGCCAGCCACAACCATGGCAGCAGACGGTGGGCAGATCCTCATCTTTCTCAAAACATATAGAGAAAAAAACAGTAGGAAGTTATTGTTCACAATGACAATGATGCAATGTGTAGTAAATCTCACGATTTGTGGATTATCCACTGCTTTAAATGCAGACTCTCAAACACTAATGCTGAGGCGTCGCAATGAAATATGTGTGAGCATTTATTCAGGAAAGCCTGGGATAAGACATAGGGTACTGCAGATACATTATCACCTCAGTGATAAGAAGAACTAGATGAGGAGATTTCCAGCTGTCTTCTACTGCTGCAGGAATGGTAAGAAATGACAGCTGGGGTTATTTTAAAACCACACATACGCTGCGCTGTGGGGCTGTGTGTGCTTAAAACCTACTCAGAAAACATGGGTGGGAGGTAGAGGGAAATAAGATTTTTTGTGCATCGAAGTGCTCCAGAGAAAAATACTGCTGTGGTAGATCCTATTATTTCCTTAGGGCCAGAACTGCCACTATGTACGAAACAGTGCAAAAATATCAATGTCTTTCTTCTTGAGCATCCCCTTCCCCACTGATAGCAGCAGTTCAGCAATCACATGTCTGCAGAGCTTCCCTTGGAGCCACTGGGTTTGAGCCATGTAAGCAATGCCCAATGCTCTTTCCAGCCTGCATCTTTCTCTATCCCATCCTGCCACAAAGTTAACACCAAGCCTGCTGCTCTTCTCTTGTTCCTGTCCACTCTTGTAAGATCGTGTTTGTTTTCTTAGTAACCAGGATGAGATATAAATTTCCTTATCAGTATGAAAAGCAGGAGGTTAGGAAGTCACCTCACAGTGCCTCCCATGTGCCATCAGATAAGCAGTGATGATGGGACATGCCAATTTGCAACAGCTCTTTATTTCACTTGGATTATAAAACCTCATTGTGAGGCTTTGGTTAAACAATATTCACCTGTTTCAAGAGTGTCAATTTCCCTCTTATTATAAATGCTAACAAATTAACTTTATTTCCCATCAGCAATATCATGAAAACTTAGTCTAACTTGACATATTTTTCAGTGATTTCCCTGATGCAAAAATTCTGAAGAATCTGAAGTAGGTCTCTGTATTGCACATACAGGTAGCTTTAGATGTACCCATAGCAAAACTCACCATTTCTGCTTGTCACTCATTATTGTGATGTTTCACTTAATACAGTATGTCAACGCTAGGAAAATACGATCAATCATAAAATTTTGCTGCTAAATAAGTTATTTAATGATTGAACAGAATTGCAAAATTACATGAATGCAATGGAAAGGGATGCACGCATTAAGAAGATTTCCACATGGACTTTTCTTATTCCACATTCCAGAAGTCCATGAATATCTTCCAGTTTTATCTGTTTCTTTGAACACACACACACATGCAAAAGGTAATGAGGTGTGTGTATGAGTTATACATACCATACCATATATATTCTTTAGGTATTTATAAGAAAATGTATGTAACATACTCTGAGTATACATATTGTATGTAATATAAAGAGGTACCACAGGGATGTTCTGTGCACCTAGACTTACAGGAGTATGTATAAATACATACATATAAATTCTTCCCTCTGATACGCATATGATGCTCTTTCTGCTGCCTTCCCTGAACACCTCCTGCTGTCAGTGTGGGCCCTTCAATTCCAAACAGACACGAACAAACCTGTCCCCAAGCCTTTTGGGTTATGCCTCACGGTCGTGGTTTGAAGCAGGCCTGTCTCGTCCTTGGCTTAATTCTTCAATCTGCAGGTTAAACACAGCTGACACTGTAATATATCTGAACGAATAACCAAGAGAAACCACACGGGAGATTGTTCTTGTCCTTCTGACACCTGTGTTATCCAAATGTGATCCTGCAGTCTCTGCATGTAGTGCAGAACCTCTGAACAGCACAGGGCTGCTTGTCTGGAATTTACAACGTAATTCACATAGACTGTGAGTAGGTTTAGCTCTTTATTTTGCATTTGTATTTGGAAAGGAAAGAACAGGCCTGATGGAGGGGTAGAAGATGGATATTCACTTGAAGTAACAAGAAATTATACATTCTTAAGTGAAACGTACGCACCATATAACCTTCGGGTTACATTTTTGATTTATTAGATATTTGCTTACTATGTTTCTGCCACTGCACACCTGATTAACTGGGAAAATTCTTAGTAAAGCAATTTAGATGAATACTCTGTATATTAAAAATACATCATAAAACTCTGAAACCAGTCGCTGCTAAAACAGTGGATCTCAAAGCAGTGGATCTTGGATCCTTCAGACATCTTAAGCACCTGCTTAACATCAGTGCTTCAGGACGTCTGCTGCTCTTACTGTGAGTGCAGTACATGCAGAATCAAGACCCTTTGTTTCTCAAAGGTTCAGTTTGGGCTCTCACACCTGAGTTCCTGTAGTGGTTGTTACCTTGAGTCCACAAAGAGGGGAGCATGATGTGGCAACAGCCAGAGCAGACTCCAAGGCAGGTGAGACAGAGTTATGTGTGAAAGCTGAAGGTGGGACCGACACCAAAAGCAAGAATTACTGACAAATCTTCCCAAATGCACTATATTTTATTTTCCGAAGAAGGCCAACATCGCATTACACATAAATTATATAGGCATATTTTTCTCCTTAAATATATTTGTATAACACAAAAATAACAAATCTCTATTTTTAAAAGTGAAATTTGAATTAAAATGGTTTGGGGACTCAAGCTGCGTTTTTCATATATTTCCCACAGCAATTTGCTGACAGCCAGGCTGAAAACCCCAGAAAACAGGGGTCTGAGATTGGAAATGCTGACATGGCTGCATCTTCTGCTGCTGTAGTGTAGAGCGTTAAGTATAGAGGTGGACAGATGCACTTTGGCACACACAGGTTGCAAGAAACCCTACAGATCATCCGTACTCATACCACTGTAAGATGGTAAGCTGATCTAAATTGCCAACATTAAAAACAAAACCAACAAAACCACCCTGAAATTTGTGCTTCTAGAATGCCCTGACTGTTTGCAATGCACTTCCCTTTATCACCTGGCCCTAGCATTGCCTTGCCTTCCCAATCGCATGCTTGCTGCAGAACCATTCTGTGGCTGAAGTGCTAGTGTGTATATTGTCTACGTGTATATACTAAAGAAAACTCTAAAACCATTTTTTTAATTTGGACTGTAAAATTTTCATCTCTAGATCATCTCTCTTTCTAGGGTCTAGTGCTATTTTGGTTGAACTCAGTGGGGAAAGTCCCACAGAAGCTCATGATTCAAAAGGAGCTGTTAGACATTCAAAGACCTCTCCAGCCAACCTCTTTGTAAGTTCCCTCTCTCACAATAATTTTTTAAAATGCACCCATTATCATCAACAGCCAATATTAAAATTCACTTTTTTTTTTTTTTTTTTTTAAATACAAACAACAGTTACCACAAAAATATGAAGGGAATAGCTATAAGCATGTTTACAGGTATTACCTATTTGTATGACACAAAAGAAAAATCATTTACAGTCACAAACTGTACAGAGTATTTGGTGGGGGACAATATATTTGTGGTTTAGAGTAAAAAAAATGATTGCTTTGGTGGTGATTAAAATAATTATTGACAATATATAAGACTTTAAAATCAAGAAAGTGATAATTTGGCTACAGAGACGATCATTGTTATATGTCTAACACAGAGGTTTTTGGACAGTAGAAAGGTGAACAGAAGGATCTGGGAAAGGAAAGACACTGTCATGCAGAACAGCTCTAGTTCTTGCTCAGTATACTCTTCAGGCTTCTCTCCACTGCTTCATCTAATTCTTCTTCCAGCTCTTCCTTCTTGGACATGGCCAGTTTGGACTGATAATCTTTTACTATTTGGTCTATGTATGGTGCGCTCTGGGTCCCGTGCAGCATCAGTGTCCACTCCTTCAGCACACCCCGCTGCGGCACACCGCCAATAAACCCAATCTCTAGAACCCAGGTGCCTCGGGGGTCTTCTCCCCAAGTGTGTGTGGTCATGAAAGGCCATTTGTCAAAACCCACCTTGGAGTCATCATCCCTCGGACGTCGGCTCAGTAGGATGGACTTCGTTCCCATTGGTGAGGTCATGTTGATGTTGAGGTCTCCTCGCCGAGTTGAATTCACAGTTATAACTGCTTGGACGTGTTCAAGGTAACGGACAAAATTCTCCTTCCCCTCACAAGCATCAGTTGTAAGTGTGAGGACCAACTTGCCGCTCGGTGGTATCTTTCTGCAGGTCAAAAGATAATTAAGCAAATTAAAAGGATATTTACAGCACGATGGCTTATACTAAAACCATTTATTGGTGCCCTAGAGAAAAACCTGTACTGTTTGCCTTATTAATATATGGAAAGGTAAGGAAATAATAGCTGCAAACCTAACCAGAAATAAAACATTCTCGTTTTAGAAAATGATAGTAAAACCCTAATTTAAAAATACATTATGAAATGTACACCTACACAACGAGAGAAAGAATACTATTAAGAAGTGCATAACTGCTATTTAAGAAACGTTAACGTTTACTTAATAGCTGCCTCTACTTCTCACTGCTATTATTGGCTATTTGCATAACAATGTGTGTTTTCAGTTAAAGAGCCATGAGCAGTCGGTTGTGTCAGTCACCTCAAAAGACAGCAGCAAACCACTCTGGAGTCACTTGCACAAAAATTCAGTGCAGCAGTATTCAAGTCTGTATCCTTGGTGCGATTCTAATCTAATGCAAATATTGAACCTTGTTTCAGCTTACTTGAAAAGTATGCTTCCAAGAAAATTGCTGGCTTGAGCTGATCCCGAACAGGAGTGCTCAGGAAGCACACTTGTTTGCTGAGCTCCCAAGCATGCATGCACTCACAGTGCTGTTGCACCCCACGCAGCTGAAGAAGCATTAACACTGGCTCTGTGCAAAGCAGGTTGCACCCAGCACCTTCCCAGCACTCACAGTTCTGCTCAGGACCCAGGTTTTGCAGTGAAATAAGGAAGCATCCCCATTTCAAGGGGCACTGGGCACACACTGTGTAAGTGGAATGCCTTCTCTTGAAAAGAAACGTGAGTGTAGATCCAACCTTTCCCTTTGCTACTGAAATAAGTGCGTTCTTCCAAGAGCAGTGAAAGCGTTTCATTCAAGTGTTTCCTGACTTGCAGGAAATCTCTTCTTCCTGAGGCAAGCTCTAAGTATTGTTCAGCACATCGCTAATATCAGCTCAGGCTTGTCTCTGTCCTCCTCTCCTAGCGGGTTGATTTCTTGGGACTACTTGCAGAGTAAAAACACATTCATGCCCAGATCCTCAAGGCATTCAAACACTTACCTTAAACGGACTAAAAATGTAGCATTCTGAATTTTCAGGATGTGCTACTGCAGGAGCTGGTATAAAATAAATATTATATAGCTAAAGTATTTGAACACTTTAGTCTGATTCCCTCGAGATGCATTTTGTGTCCCTCAGCACAAAAAAATATGGCAGCTGGAGGTGAAGGACATCATCTCACGGTTGCTATCTGCTTGAAATTTCTCTGCATGGGAAGCATCAGCCTCAAAGCAATCTGACCTGTTATCATCTGATACCGACTAACAATGCTTTGCCATGCTTGTATCTCTGGCAGTGAGTGAGGGAGGACCTCACAGTGTGAGTCTTCTCTATCAGCACCAAAATATGGTGTCCTGTTTCTGCTACTGGGTAATGCTGCTGTGGTACACACCACCACTATCTACCTAAGTATATAGGAAAATAGATAGGCAAATATATGTATATATAGACATATAGAATACATATAGCAAATGTTGCTGCTGCAAGATTAAACTGGAAAAACAAGTGGAAGTGCAGTAGAAATTTCATTATCAAGGAACCCTGAGTGCTGCAAATACAAACCCATCTGGACGATGGGAGCAGACTCAGTCTTTGCTTGGTAGAGCTATCTACAAGGGAAGCATATTGGATTAATTTCTTCTCATGACAGAATAATGACGCTTTCAAAAATGGCACCGAAATGTCAAATTTCAAGTGTTTCAAGACATAAATTGGCCATCATTAGGTCAATTTTTCAGTAATTGAATTGAATGATAGCTGTTGTAGTCAAGTAGTATTAATTCACTTGTTGACTCATTCTCTTTAGCACGCAAAGGTAATCAGAAAATAATTTGACAACCTAGCCTGCAATTAGTGACTTGAAGAACAAGCCAAACACAATTAAATACTGTAACATTCAAACTGAATGTCTGGTACCTATAGATGACTGTTTCTTCTGGAGATAAATCTGCCTGCTAAAGTAGGTCAGCAGGACTTGGCTGAGAAGTATTTCATGTGGCAGCAATTTGGGCAATTTATGGGGCCAGCCTCCCAGGTTTTCACTCATGCACAAGCTCTTTATTCACACAAACTTTGGTGCAAACGTAACTGTAAGCACTTATGAGAAATGGATGCTGCTATTGACACTACTGGTGTTTGTTATGTGTTCTTTATGTTTCTCTGCTTATCGAGTTCTTTGTCAAGGTATTTGCATGCCTGTCATCTCTGAACTGAAGAAACAAAACACATATACTGGACTTACTCAGGTTCCTGTATTGACCCCCCAACACAGTGGAATCTCTCGGGAACGGTCTTCCAGTCTTTTGCCATCTTAACCATTGCTCCTGCATCTAGGACACCATAGCCAAACAAATGATTGAATTCCAGCCCGACACCATTCCTACGCCACCGATGAACTTCGTCATGAAGCTGGTTCCTTTTGGAGGTGAGAACTGTCAGATGCTGCATGTCTCTCCAGGTCAGATCCAAGCTGTGGAAAAGTAACAGGGAAAACAAACAGGACAGTCTTTTCCCACAGGTATTAAATAAAATAATGTAAGTCCTTTGCTGAAATTTGCTTCTGTGAATCTCACAGAAATTGTATCTACGCACATACCAGTAAAAAGCTTCTGTTGATTTCAAGGGAGCAAGAACAGTTTCTGAAAGCAACTGCTTTCAACTAGACATTAACTATCTACTATCTACTGGGAATAAAATGAGCAGGATAATATACCAGATCCTGAAAAGAATGGGGAAAAAAAAAAAAAAGAAAAGATTATGGACAAATTTGTGAAATCCTTGTCTTAGATGTCACTCTCTTTTCCTTGCCTGCTCCACCTGCTTTTTCCATGGATCTCCCAAGGTTCATCCAGAGCAGCTCTGCTCAAAGCTGGTGAGCTCTAACAATCAAGGTCTCAGTCACTTCAGCAGACTTTAAATGTGGATATATGGGCTGTGGGTGGCTGCAGGTTTGCATTGTGAGCTACAATAGAGCTTTATCACTCATGATCTGCTAGCACAGATGGATGCAGTAAAGGAACGTTTGTGATCTGTGATCATTTTTCATCATCAGCTCTTGTCCTCCTAGCTTTGCAGTGATTATGACGACAGGAAGGGCACTTACAAGTGATTATTCTGGAAGATTTAGAACTGACATTCTAATTCTACATAACTGAAGCTATTCCATTTGTTTTATGATGAATTCTTTCAACATTATAATATATCTGATTCCAATCATCAACCCAAAAGGATCTGTTTTTCAGCTTTCAGTGCTCTATGTAATGCATGCATACATGCTGAATGTACACCAGAATAACTAATTGCTTTCATTTTTTCAAGGGGACATGGGATATACAGAACACCAAAGATCACTTGCAAAACTTTTTAAAATAGAACTTCCCATCTCACAGATTAGCTTGTTTTTAGAGACATGTCAGATGTACACGAGCTGACAGACTGCAGGCAAGAGCAGCCAGCATGGGAAATTGCTAGCCATTCCTGTGAAGGCAAGTGTTACTCATCCAGGGAAATTCTGCACAATACAACAGAAGTTTACTACAGCCAGAGTGGAAGGAGACACTGACAATTCTTTCTTTCTTTCCTTCTCAGCAATGGCTAGAGAGCCAGCTGCAGACTAGGGGGATTAGTCTAATTTCTACTCACAACAGTTTGACAAGATTTATTACCCACTTCATGGACAGCCCAAATAAAGAGTAATGATCATTATTACTGAGAAATTAGGACTGTAGTCCAAGTTAAACATGCCGTGGTCAGAAAATTCATTCAATCTTTGTATTTGTACGGCCATATTAATTTATTACATTGTGGCTGTCCCACTGAACAAATCTGATAGTGGAAGGATTGATCGTCCGAAGTTAAGATACTTGGCACGTTTGTTTGACACACATAAAACCTGAAAAATGAGAATTGGCCCAAGCTCTGAGCACAATAATCACTGCTCCACTGATGACATAAATTTTGTCTCCTCTGCTAAATCTTCATTCTTCTACATACTGTCAAAGAGAACTATGTACATAGTGTTCAGCTCATGCTGAGATTACAGCAACTGAAGCTGTATAGCTGAGCAAATGCTTTTTCACTTCGTAAAACAGTTTGACACAAAGGAAAAAGATGGTGTCGATAACTGTAAGGAAAACTTTTCCTAGTCATTAGAAAAGAAGATAATGAGGCAAGATATACTAGAAGTCTCCAATGTTATAAATAGCACGAAGAAGGTAAACAGGCACTGGATATTTGTTCTTCCACATAACACAGCAATTATATAGCACAAAAGCAGATTACCAGCCATGGGATAAGGAAGGACAAAAGAAGCATTCCACACCACTGCCAACAAATATTATTACTGTGGAACTGATTGACACTGGATGATGCAGATGCCAAATCACTGACAAGCTTAAAAAGAGTCGGACAGATTTGAGGAAGAGAACCCTGCCTGCGGCTGTTAAAAGGGATAGGCTGACTGCTCCATCCCCAAACAACTGATTGCCCAAGCTGCTTACGTGAAAGATCACTCTTAATCCCTGCTTGTTACTCGCTCCCCAATGTATTTTCCACTGTGGACAGTTTGTGGTACAAGATGAACTCCAATCTGATACTACAGATTCATTATTTTGCTTTTATAAGCTGGGTGCTCCCTACTAAATACGTGGAGAAATGAAGTAACCTCTCCCTCAAATAGTGCTGGGAAGACAAACCCCTGGATGTACAGGACACAGAGAGCAAATCAATCAAAATGTATCTGCCTGTGGCTTTGGCAAGGCCATAGGTCGCCCTGTAAGTCACCAGCCATGTCTTTACTGTATCCAGCAGCGCATCAGCTGCTCATCCTGCTTCTTCCAGCAGCCACATTCATACGATGAACATTAAACAAACCCCAGGCCCACTCATCTCCAGAGCTCACAAGGAATGTCTTAACAGCATACTTAGCCTCCAGGGCCAAGGCGAACACTCCTGCTGCTTCAGGGGCAGCTGCAGACGTTCCTGAGTGACGCAGAGTGCAGTTGCCATACAAGTCTGTTGTAGCCTGCAATGAATATTAGATTTAATTAATGAAATGAGTTATTCCATTTTCCTTGCAGCTGCAGATGTAGAAAAATATAGAGAGTGGAGTTATGCTCTTCAGAGTAACTGTGTATTTGTTCCCAGGATCTGTCTTCTTTAGAATTGTGTATGAATTTAAAAGTATTGGGAGACACAGCTACAGAAGGTAGGAATGCAAGAATAAGTTACGATATAGGAAAACAAAGTTCACTACCACTTAGATCTCAAACTTATACAGACATCATTTATTTCCTATAAGTAGAGTTTAACCAAAGGCCTCAAGTTTCCTTATGTTGTCATGAGGGTTGCAAACTAGAATCGTTAACAGTACTGAGATTTCTAAGATTTATACAACTCCAAAGCTAAGACTAGCTGCAGTCCTCCATGCAGACCTAAGGAAAACCTTGGAAGTACATTTTATGGTGATAATTACAAAGGTATCACTTCAGCTGATACCAGCACAGTGCTGACACCAAGACAGAAAACAGTATTTTTCTATCTGCTATTGCATGCAGGCATTTAGGATGCTACCTAAAATGAATAAAGACTTTGGAGCTTGAAATAAGGTTAAGGAAAATGTATAATGGCTTTTGGTTAGGGCAGACCTTGAGTTACTACATCACCCTCTGTGAATCAGACTACATCCTGGCTAGTCTGGAGGTGCTGGAGAGCAGTGTCAGTATAGTGGAAGGGAATGCCAGCTAGACTCGAACATAAATCACGTATTTTCCCCTAGTAAGTATGGCCCTGTAAAGGACTTGAGTATGGTGCTCCACACTGCTCTCAATACTTGACTGTATCTCTAAGGGTAATCTGAACATCCACATTTCCTCTACAGGCAACTGAATGTCTGTCTGCCCTGTGCAGCTTCTAGTACAGCAGAAATCTGATTCGTGACTGCTCTGCCAGAACAATTAAGGATGATTTCAGATGTCAACCCCTTTTATTTAGCTTTAAACAGAAGCCTTTTGTCAAACTGTCCTCTGGAAAGAGGGCAATTGAACTTCTAAATCTGGTTTCTGATAAAGGAAAGCACGAAATATATGAATCTCTAAGATACGGAAGATCATTGCTGTTCTCAGTGTTAATTCCACATCTCCTCAGCTGACAGCCTTGGCACAATCACATGCTGCAGATGAGAAAATATCCATCTCAACAAAGGACCATCTGGAACTCCAAAGCAGTCAGAGTCGTAACGGGTCGTGGGAGTGCAAAAAGACAGCAGCAACACCACAATAATATCTGGACTCACCACACCAGCCTCCGGATTTCTCTTCCTCCCATTGCTGAATGTGGAGGCTAGGGTTGAAGAGCAGCTTTCATCATACAGAGCTGTCCGTCCATCATTTATTGCAGAATTGATGGAGATTGTCCACATACTTGATGCATAACCATCACAGTTGCAGTCATCGTAGCTGCCCCCATCTCCAGAGGCCCAGACGTAGATGCTTCCTTTTCCTCCCCGGCCCTGTGAAAAGGGAAAGTTGGCCCTCCTGGGTTAAACTGCAAATAGAAAACAGCACCTATGCTCAACAGCACATGTAGTTGTGAAACTAAACGTCTCTAAAGGAGAAAACTGATCCAAACAAAATATACGTCAGCTGTAAGCTGAAATAAAATGGGTTTCTGCAGGTTATTAAAACTGGTTAACTGGCAGCTACAGCCAACTGGCTGCCACAGCCAACTTCATGCACACGGAGCCTTTCCATTTATCTCCTGTTTTGCTTGATGCCCTGAAGGCTTCTGTGCCATATGCTGAGACGTTTTATAGATTGATTAGTGCTTATGTCAAGGTCTAAATGCTATAACGAAGGCGTTCTTTTAAAAGCAATGTAGGTCATCTCAGACACTGGCTTTGTAAGATCTAATTAGGTTTGGACGAGGATTACAAACTCTGTGAAGCCAGCACCTTTTTCCCCTCAATAGATTTTCTCTGTAAGTATCATTGACACAGAGCTGTTTCTTTTTTTCTGGCAAATCAGCTTCTATGACCAAGCAGAAAGTAAAAAATCAAATGAATCATCTACAGAAAGATGGTCTACCAAAACCACTGCAAAGTCCAGAGATGAATGGGAGATACTGAAGCTATGACCTTCCTGTTAAAGAAATCTGTATCCTCTCTCCCACTTCCAGGTAAGCAAGGACTGGGAAGGGATCAACTCCATTCCATCTTCTCATGCCATCCTAAGACTGGAAGAAGGTAAGACCTCAGAGCCTTGACGCTTGGAGGAAGATCAGTGCCACTGAAACCAAGCACAGATCTCCCACTGATTGCAGCACTGCCAATATTTCTCTGTGTTTAGTCTAATGTAAGCCAGTGTTTATTTCCAGCAGCATCACCAGGGTGCAAGGCCTCAATTTAGCATACTGTTTGTGTGCACTGGGTAGAAGATGAGAAAAAATATCTTCTGGTCTTTTCATTGTCCAGCAAGAAATGGAAATTAAAGCATACGCAAACAAAGCAATGGTATTTTAATAGGAACCTTTTCTGCAAAGAATTTAAATCAAATCTGGGCTCCCAGCAGTAGCTTCTATTTTTCATCATACCTCACTGAACAGAGCAACCTCATTATTTCAAGCATCTTAGAGAGTTGCATTATAATCCATTGAATTGCACAGCAGGTCTGCTGCCACTGGGGTACCTAACACCTCAGGACAGAGATTTTCATAATTAAGATGATGACTATGAAATAAGCATACTGAAATCAGTCTGAGAACTCCTACCAAGATCTGAGATCAATCATTTTCCTTTTAAAGGAAGAGGATGCTGTTGCAAAAATACATAAAATCAAAATAATGAGCTTGTGCTCAGACTGCTGCTACCTGGGCTTTGGACTCACTTTCCAGGCTACATCACAAGCTTGCTATCCTGCCCACATGCACCATCACACCACTGTGTCACCATCTGTGCCTTTTGGACAGCCTCAGTGACAGCTAGAGCATCCGCCCATCCCCAAAAGACACGCTGCTGGTGCCAGGAACAGGATGTTTGGCATGTCTGGGACTGATCTTAAACAAGCCTTTCCTTCTAGCCATTTTGAAGGAAGATGAAAGACTTAATTTTCATGTGACAAATTCAGGAAAGCAGTCTGGTGCCAGGCAGTTAGCCTCCGCAGCATTCATACAGTGTCGGGAAACAGACTTTGCCCTGCATGGCAAATGGCTCCATGCTGCCAAAAGTGGGAACTGCTGCAAAGCAGCACACCCCACAGATGGGATTTGTGGAGGACGGCAGAAAACAGGTGTAACAGATTGCTGGTGGGGTCAGGTGGCATCCACAACTGCACTGAAATTTGGGGTTGGGTTTGTGGGTGTAGTAAGCCTGCTAAGTGCTGGTGGGGGCAGGAATTATGCCATCACTGTCTATTTGGAGAACAGTCAAAGGATATCACTTCTATGAGAATTGCCGTAAATTTAGGACAAAAACAAGATTGGACAAGATGCTAGTGATAGGCACTAGAAACAACAGAGTGAGCCTGAAGGAAGATTCAGAAATAAGAGGGAAGTCTGCAAGGCAAGAAGGTATATTTTAAAGAGTATCTTTTCTCCAGAATCCTGTTGAAATCTGTTCATTTCCCCCAGAAGCAATACAGAGCTTGTCACTCACACTTCTGAGCCATCTGAAGCCATAACTCGCACTCACAGCTGAAAATGGATCTCAGCGCATTGAGGAGCAGCCTAAAAGAGTCTCACCTCTCAAATCACACTGATCAGAATGAAATCCTGAGCATGGCTATATGCTCAGAAAGTCACAGACAGCTACTGAGAAATTTTCTTGGCAGAAACAGCAGGTTTTCTATTTCCAGTGCTCTTCATCAGATGTTGTGCTACTGGCAAAAAATATCCCTGAGAAGCTTTATTACCCATTTTCTCAACTTCTAAAGACCATAATCCCAGGAAAATTCCTTTACTGAACAACCTTGCAAAAGTGAGCAGGCAGGAAACTGCAGGCTAATCCATTTTATGTAACTTAAGGTACACCTTGAACTCTTTTTCACTTTGTTATTGTGTTCATGCATCATGCTCACTGGGCTAGTGCCTAAGCCAGTATTCCTCTAAGCTTTCATTCCTGGATCACACTTACCAGATAAAAACTGGTGGTATTTGGCAAATAAATCTCCTTCAGCTTCCCCTGGTCCTTCTTGTAAAGGCTGTCAGGTGTTCATGTGAGTAACAGCTGAGTCTCTAACACAGCTCAGCCTCTGCTTTAGCTCCTGTAATTTGCTCATTCCAGTCCAGCCATCATGGTTGCTAAAGGTGGATGGAAGGATTATCACAGTCTTTACAACCCGTCTCTGGTACAGACTCTCTGGCTTTGCACTTTTTTTTTTGTTTGCATGACATGATAATAATTCTGCATTTCTTCTGAAGAAAAAAAAGAAGCGTCTCACAGCACCTTCTCTATAGTTTAATAGCAATTTTTGTGCCTGCTATGATAAGATATGAGCTGCTTTTCCAGGAAAGGCAAAAGAATTCTATAGCTTTTTCAAGTCTTTGCCATTGGTCTTAGCAACTTTTGGATAGGACTTGGCCAGTTACCATTCCTTATTATTTTCCACTTATCTTCCTCCTTAAAGAGTGCTTGTTTCTCTTTAAGCATCATTAATTAAACAGCATCATTAGAGTTTTTGGCACTGAATTATTTGGAAACCCTTACATGTTTTGTAATTAAGAACTGCATCCTTCAATAACAGTTGGTAATTATCCTGCAAAGCGTGGTTTGCAGCCCAGGGCATGGCGTGTCCAGAACACACTGCTCTGCTTGGAGGAGCTTTGCAGCACTGGAAATTTCCATCACGTTCCCCAGATGAGGAACCCCAAGGCAAGAAAGGATGGAGAAAAGCTGCAGCACCATTTGCCTGCTGTCGGGACCTGGTGGATGCATTGGGCTGGGCTTTCCAGCCATTGAGGAGCTCTCCCCACTTCTGCCTTGTGCAAATAGCCCAGCTGTGTGACTTAAGCCAGCTGGAATCAGCAAGACCATGGCATTGCCAAGCTGCTCCTGTTTTTTTTTGCACTGCCAGGGTTTTCTGGAGTCTGCCTGTGTCCTCCTGCATCCCTGACCTGCTGCCAGCTAGCAGCTCATTGAGCCCTTGTTGAATTTGGTAGCTGGCTGACTGGTTCCTCCTAGCAGATTTCTAAAGCAATTTGGGTCAAGTCATAATCACCCAACTACATGAGACTTCGTTGTATGAGATTCTCAAAGAACTGAGCCCTGTAATTGTCAAACCCTAACAAAATGCTTTATATAACTTACTCCAGTCTTTATTAGGTCACAGAAGAATACTGAACTCCCATCCACCAACCCCCAATTAATTGTGCAATTGTTAATACTTCCTTTCACTAAAAATAGTGCTTGAGCTATTTTCTATGCCTAAATTACTGTTGAAACTAGATAGCCTTCTGTTAGCCAAGAGAAATGAGTGGAAAAATACAGTTTTGGTGAAGATAAGTAGCATTAGCTTTCAATTAGGGTTCAGCTCAGCAGGAAGGGAGCTTGGAAAATGCCAAGAGAAAAGCTTCTATTTAAAAATAAAATAATTCCACCTGCTCAAAATCAAATATTTCTTCTTTCCCTTCAAAATTTATTCTCCCACTTAAATTTGATCCATTTTATAAAAGCAAGAACTTGATGATCAGTACAAAATAAGCAAAATCCATCAATTGAAATGCTCTGGCTCAGCCTAAACCAGCAATTCCTTTTTGCTGGATCCTGAGCTACACATCACAAGTGATAACACATTACTATAGCCCAACAGTTCTGCAGATATAATTGTGATATTGGTAACATCTGTAAAAAAAAATCAATCCCATTGCTCCATACTGATTCAAGCTATGGCAGTATAGCAGTTTTTTACTCCTTATGTGACAGTCATCTGAATCTTTGTGAAGGGCAATATTTAATGCTGTCACAGGACCACATGGAGCACAAGCCTTACAACAGCCAAGGTCTTCAGCTGACCAAGGCATGTCCAAAGCAGCAGATATCACAACAGAAACCAATGAGATTAGGGATTTACACCAGTCCTGTCCCCAGATATGTGTATTCATTCCCTGAGCTGTGGCAGGAAAGCAGATGCTCACAGACTGATCTCCAAATCTGGATCTTATTCATGGTGATGGGGCGTGTATCCCATCACTAGGTTAGAAAAGCTGCTTGTGCTGTTTTACCGAAGCCTGAAAGTATCCCACTCCAGCCAAATGGGGCAACATCAGAAAAGCTAACATACAATATATTCATGTGGGATTGTAATTTGGTTTGATTTTAGCTTAAACACGTAAGACAAGTCTTGTAATTGCAATGCATATTCTAGACACAATAGCAATATGATAGTAAAGGGCTCCAGAGTTATAAAGAAGCTTGTAAGGCTTCCTTAGAAATGGAATAATCAGAAGGCAATCTCATAAAATAATTTCCCTATCCTCACTTGGCTATTGAGCCAACAAAACAATGTTAGATGTAGTTGCATATACATTAATGATGTGCCAATCTCAGCATGTTTCAAACAGCAAGAATGCAATGTGCTTGGCCTTGGATGGAAGCAAATGAGAAATATTTCATTTTCCATGCTATCCTTTCTTCTTCTACTGTTGAGCCCAATTACAGAGCTATGACGAGACTATAAATTCTTAATATTGCTCCCTTGGCAATTTGCACTTGTATAGCATTTTCTTAGGTAGAACCATATTATGGAAGCAACATTTTCACCAACACAGGCACGAATGGATCGTGTCTTATATATCCTGGATGAGCTGGCAGTCTCAAGACATTAATTCAGTCCATGAGCAACTCCTTGCAACTTACTAATATAAAAGCCTATATCATAAAAATGCAATAGATAGAGACTAGCTTAGCTTGATTACTTTTTTTTTTTTTTTTTTTTAATATCTGCCTTAAATTCCAATTGGTGAAGCTGGAATATTGAACTCATAAAACAGCAAGTAAGAAATGTTTACTGGATATTGGGTTATATCCGTAAAGCATGGGTGGAATAGTTCTTGAGCTAGTTACTTTTTTCTTACCTTACAGTTTAAGATGTCTGATGAATTTCAATTCTGATTGAAAGGTACCAGTGAATAAATGGTACATAACTAAGAGAGTTGTGCTACCACCGGGAAACCACCTGTCCCTCCCTGTCCCTCCAAGTTGTACAGCCCCCAATACAGGTAAGACAAGGGATACATAAATCACACAGCATTGCTCTGTCCAGCCATACTTTTTACAGAATGCTACTACGGGCTCACACCCCTTCTCTGAAATGAAAGTTCCTCTCAGCTATGATACAGCTGTTACTCAACACTGGGCTGTTTATTCCCAAATCTACCATTGCAGTTTCTGCCCTGCTCTGCATTTTAGTTTGTAGCTCTGCACCTGGAATAACAACCCTCTATAGTTCACTGAAGAAATATATCTGTAAACATGCAATACATTAGGAGCAGTGCAACCGAGCATATAAGAAGCCTGTTTGGTACAGGGGTAAGGTATCTCAGGACATCTGGAACAGTGTTAGGTCAGTGACTTACTGAGGCTGTAAAGAAATATAACCCTTTTCTCCCTGTATGCCACAATACGCTGCTGTCCACAGATGATGCCTAGAAGCCAGACAGTAACATTTCATTACATAAATCCATTACAGCTCCTGGCAACTGTGTTTAAAGAGGGAGCAACAGAGCACATTCACCAGACAGAACCGCATTTGTCCCTTAGCCCATTGCAGGCTACCCTAATGAATATCTGACTCAGGCACAGTCTAGTACAGTTGCCTGTCACAGTGAGCAGCCAGCACCAGATGCCTTGCAGCTCAGGGATGTTTGTGTACAAAACTAGTTCAACCTCTACCCTCAAGTGCCTGCTAATTCAGCAGTGAGCTCATACATCTTTGCAATGCAACTGCCACTATTCAGTGACCCGGTCACACTGCTGACAAAAGTCTGGAGATAAGACAGTGAAGAGCAGACTGTATGAAAAGTGAATGGAATTGTGGCCAAGTAACAAAAAATAACTAACTACTTTCTGATGACATGTATTACACTTGGTTATGAATGCGTGGCTTCAAACCACACATCCAGACACACAGACTAGAAGTGTTATCATCATGCTACAGTTGTCAGGCAAGTGCTTACAACAGGCATCCCAGCAGGTCTGGAAGGAGGATGCCAAAGGACAAGACACCAGAATGGAGTCTGGGGAAGGATGAAACTCGCATCTCTCCTTGAGATAAGTTCTGAAGTATGGCAGCAACAAGGCAAATGTTACCAGTGTTTGTCAGTTCAGTTAACTGCATATTCCCTTTAAGAATTTAATCTCATTCCCAATTTCTTCTTAGTTTATTGCCTTAGAGGCAAGGATATTAATCTTGCTCTGTGCAAGAGATCTTCCATTTCCTTCCAGGATATTTGAAAGTATTGCTTTTAGTTCAACAACACATTTTTATTCTTAGCATGTTGCTTCCTCCCTGCCAATATTTCAGCTTCATCACTTATTTATGAACCATCACTCTGGTGAGAATCAGCCCTAGACTGAGAAAAAGCGTTCCTGCATTTATTTGTCCCAGTTTGTAAAATATACTACTTTTCTCTTTAATAGGAAGTGTTGTTTTAAAAAATATATGTATATTCTGAAAAGTGAGGTTTACATTCATCCACTCAGTAGAGAATTTTGTGCGTAGATTGTAGACCTAAGATAGGTAAAATGCTATTATATCAAAAGCTCGTTAATCTTCCCTTACATGCAGGGAAGCCAGCAGTGGGTTTTTCAAAGCACCATGGAGAGTTCCCAGCTTCCACAGAAATGATGAAATGCCTTTGGGAAATCTGGCTCTCCATGAAAAGAAATCAGAACAAATTATATCCCCAAACCTTTCTGTGACAGGAAATGTAATGAACATAATTAGGGTAGATAAAGCTATGGCCACAATGCAAAGGGAGTTATCTAGAGGGGAGCTATCTCTTCTTTCGTGCATGTATTGCCAGGAGATATCTAGGATACTGCCACTATAAAATTAAGTGTAATTGTTCCTAGACAACAGTATCTTTCTTAGGTACAATCCAGTACTATCCTTTCTGCCCTCCAATTCCACAGTGGTTATTTGACAGAGCTGCTTTCCTAATTCGGGCTCTTCTGTTCATTTCATGCCTTCTGATATGGTATGAGAGCTATCTTTCCCAGAGGGCAGCTCACCAGCACCCTTCTCTCTCCTTAGCAAGCAGCCTAAGAGATCCCAGATCCCTTCTGACCCTCATACTGTAAATTACTTCCTAATGAGACTAATAACACATTTAAGGAGAAGGCATTAAAAAAGTTACGTGAGCAGACAATACAACAGAGGAGAAAAATCTCTTATCCCTTTTTAAGCATTTAGAAAGGTGTAATGTCAGCATAACTCCACAAAATAGAGTACATGGGGACACAACAGCAAGTTAACTGAAAGCTCTTTTAATATTAACCTGGGAAAAACAAAACAAATGAAACAAATAAAAAAACAACAACTCAACACAATAAACCCTCCAAATTAAAACCTGCCTCTCCTGGAAGGGTTAAATGCCTTCTTTTAGATTAGTTTGCATTACCTTTCCTGGGTTACTCATGCATTCTCTGTTACTTCTTGATTAGTTTTGCATGGGAGTAGAACAACAAAAAATTGGAATGGGAGATTATCTCTGCTCCAACCAACACTAATGGAAGAAAAATCAAGTATCCAGAAACACATCAGGGTGCTGCTAAAAATACAGCTGTGCTACACACTGAAGAAGGATTCTCCCCAAAACAGACGTATCTAAGGGGATCAGGAAAGACTTTATGAGGATGCATGGCAGACCCTGGGATGCATGTTGTCATAGATTTGTACACATTCAGTCTCATGAGGAGGTCTCTGACTCTTAGAGTGGGATGGAATTTGCTCACCTGATCCCCATGTTTCCAAATTTGTGTGTAAGAGCATGAAGATGTCCATAATTCAGCTATTATAGGTAAAACATTAGAGACTCCAGTTTTGAGAAAGCTTTGGATGCTTTACCATGTATTACAGCAATAGATTTAATTCCCATGCCACATGGGAAACATGGTAAACTGATTGTTCACAGAGAGGTGGTGATGAAGAGTGGGTGAAACTGGCTCAAGTAACAGGAAGAAAGAATCTGGATGGAAAATGAACAGTTGCAGAGCTCCCACACAAAACCACCCCAGATGTTCTTAGCAATTTCTAATCATCTCATTATGGAAACCCATCTAGAGTCAACAGGAGGAGTAGCCTTATTCCCTGCAGCACCAGGAGTAACTGTGGTTGGGACACCTGCATGATACCAAAGAGGAGATGGAGCTATATAATGTTTGTAATGTCTTTGAAAGAGGTGAAAGGATAGAAATAAAACAAGGAGGGTCCTGGTATTGGAGACTATTACTCCACAGACAGTGGTGGTGCAATTATAGCTGTAATAAAGACCACTCAAGTGACCTTAAAGACACAATGAATTCGAAATGACAATTAAACTGGCAGCACATCAAAAAAGACAATGTGACATCAGTAGTATAGCTAGCATCTTTTAAGTTAGGGAACATTTACAGGGCTCTGGAGCCAGAATGTGATCAGGCTTTTCAATTTTGACCGTGATGGCATATAAAAAACCTATGTAAGCTGAACAGAGATAAAAACAGCTCTATGCAAGAGAGCACAGTATCCTGAGACAACATGATTTAAAAAAGAAAGCCAAGATATTGCAGAGAGAACATCAATGGAACTGAAAGCTGAGACAATTTACATAATTGCACTGTGTTCTGCAGCACCTATCACATATGCTTAAGCTCCTAGTGTTACTGCAAGTGTGTACATATCCCCCTGTCCCAGTACCTCAATTATTTAATAGGATTGTTACCTTGTTCACACCATCTGCCATCGCTTGTAGTGTTAGCTCTCTAGGCCCATCCACAGTCTTTCCATTATCAGTTGGTCCCCAGCTGGCACTGTAGATATCTATGACCTGAGGCATATGACTGATAGAGGAAGCCTCAATAATGTCTGTCATAAATGGCTGGTCGAGCATCCGAATACCTGTGGATTTAATCAACATAAACATGACATCACCTAGCAGAAGAGAAAACATGATATCACCTAGCAGCACCTGAGTAACTCCCCCAGAGCCATTGACAGTTTTGGTCACTCAGCAGTTCTGCACCCACCATACACTCTGCATCAGGATGTGCTTACCTCCCAGCAGGATGCAAAGCACATAAACACCCAGCCATAACAATGTGGTGTGGCCCAGAAAGAAAAAACACTTCACTGCTTTCTAAGTACATAGTCTCATTCATCTGCTATTTGAAAACACTTCAAAAACATTCCTGTTAAGCAATCTCAGCATTTTATAGTAATGAAATATTAAAAGTATGTAGATCATATTTTTTATGTAGGAATTGAGTCAGAGTTTCAGTGATATGATCCAAGGATGTGTCAACTTTATAAAACCTCAGAGCACTGTCCCAAAGCAAGGCAGAGCATAGGACAGAGGCAGTCCAAGCCCTTGCATCTCTCATACTCCCCTATGCAGGACAGTGGTGCCGACAGCCAACCTCTGGGCCCTTTGGATGAGACCTGAGCAGCCAGGGACACATTCCAGATCTCATTATGGCCTTGAGTTGAAGTTTGGTGTTTTTCCCAACAGCTTCAGGACAGAGATGTGACAGAAGTCAGCACCACAGAGCCAAGCAGTGTGAATGGCAGTGGGAGCCTGATTTGGAAGCCAGTGCTTTCACTGTATGCAATACAAAATCCATGTGCCAAGCACAAGGCTGGAAAGAGTGGTATTTGGAAATCTGACCCGAGCTGGATATTCCTGACCTGCTAATTTAGGCTAGAAACTACAAAGTGAATCTCAGTGACTGAGAAAACCCCTCTGCACTGAAAGCACAGAATTAATGACTGATGCTAAGGAAGTGAGGGACAACAGGCAGAGCTGAGCCGTCTGGTTTGACTCCAGGGGAAAAAAAAAGAAAAGAGGTAAAAGAAGCAAAGCACACAATTTCCCAGATCCTTGCTTACCAACTTCTAATCCAACCTGCAAACACACCTTTGAATCATGTCAGATGCGGACTACCAGCTCCTATTAATTTTCCACTGACCACACGGTGGTGCTGCAGGAGCACACTGTCCTCATATACGAAAGCAACATTCCCCCAAGTCACTGGGGATCTTCCTGCAGAGCAGGCAAATCTGAAAGGCTGTTTGTCTTCAGAAAAGGCCTTCAGCTTTCAATCTTCAAACAACCAGTTTGATGCAATAGATTAACTACAAATAAATATGAGGTGCTGCTAACTTCCCATGCCTCAACTCACAGTCCTCTAAAAGTGATTGCCAGAATGTACATTTCATGAAATGCTGCATCCATGGAGGACACATCATCATTACTGGTGGAGAAAGGCAAGCACCAGGCCTCCTTGGCCAATTACTAATTCCTAAGTGACACTTACAGGGGTAACTGCTTAGCACATATAGCTTGGTGTCCTTGAGGTTCTGCTTTGGAATGTGCAGGTGACAGGCAAAATGTGGCCTTCCTCTGACTTCTCTGGGTCAGCAGTGAACCAGGCCAAGCAGAATACCTTCCCCAGGAAACAATGGGTGCACATATGATGGAGTTTCTAGTATGCACTGAGGAATGAAATGTAATTCCTAAGCACCCATCTCCACTTGCGACTCCCTTCCTAACAACGTGGAGCAATCGTACAGTGAGGAAAACGGATTTCTTTAGGGTGAAACTCAACTGACATACCCTGTTCAAGAGCTCAGCTCCAATCTCCGTACTCAGTCCATCAGGGCAGAAAAAAAGCTATCTCAAAGTAAAAATATCCAGCACACCTGAGGAGAGAACGTTGAGTGCTAAGCGCCAGCCAGTCTGCTCTGGGCATCTGTTCTTACCACTCCACAGCCCTCATTACAAGGGAGGAAAGCAACAACTGCAGAGATTTACAGCACTGCAGGGCCTGCACTGTGAAAGCCTAAAGCATACAAACAGCATGGGATTTGCCCCTTTGCAAGTACAGGTTCCAAGTGCAGCAGGAATCTGCACCTTCTCTCCTGAAAAATAAGATTTGCCACAAACGATTCTGCCACGACGCAGGGAAGGAGCACTGAAAATGATAACGCAGAGGTTAGCAAAAGGAGGAAGAGAGCTGTTCCTTTGCAATGTCATTGAAGAAGCTATATAGGGCTCTCAGTGAAGGCAGAGCCTCTCCACAGCTAGTGTGAGAAGTAATAAAGGCATGGCCCAGTGCCAGCCTGCAGTCCTGGGCTGGGCTGTGCTCCCTGTCCCTGCAGAGCAGTACTGCACGAAGCACAGTGCTGTCAGGACTGCTCAGGTCGGTACTGTACCTGCCACCTTGGAGTTGTAGGCGACTCCCACGCCGCAGATGTTGTTGTTGGCAGCTGCAGACACCTCTCCTGCACATCGGGTCCCGTGGCTGCAGAGAGGAAAACAGAGACACCACGTTAACCCCAGCTAACACAGTGGTCCCTCTGCTGGATCAACGAGCATAACCCTGTTCCTATCTTTGCCTCATTGCATCCCAGCCCTTCAGAGGAAAACCCATGGCAAACTTGAGTGCCGCACTAGGATACACTTGGATGAGTTCATTCCATCCTGAAGCAGCAAATAATCAGTTTCCCCTCTGCAGCATGAATGATGCTTGCTCTGAGGTTAACACAGAGACCTGTGCTTCGTTTAGCTGCGAAGTTATTCAGCCCATTCCAAAACTCTGGCTGTCAAACAGCTTCTGCCTTGTGACCAGCTACTAGACAGCAGAACCATTCCTGGAAACAACGGTGTAAAACTAGATCAGCACTAATCCCTGCATTTTTGCAACCAGGCCATGTGACACCTATTACTTTGAGCCCCACGAATACATTTTGCTCTTCAAACACCTATCAGATACGTATCACTGCCCACAGAGAATGCTACAGAAAGAGGTGGTGCAGTATCAAGCTGGAGTAGCAGAAGAGAACCACAAGGTCCAGCACATTCCTTGGCAGCAGAGCTGTGGCCAAGGGCATCCATCCCTTCCTGTGCCCAGCTGCCAGGAGAGCCACAAGCTGGCACGGAGCTGCAGCTGTCAGTGCCCAGATAGCCTGCAGTCAGCTTGAATGTGAGATGCTTCTGCTCTGACACCGAGGTCCAGGCTCAGCCTGACGTGCAGCATTTCAAGAACACTCAGCGTCTCTGAAGTGCTTTACAGCTCTGAGCACAGACCCTGCTGCTGCCAGTGGCTGCGAGGCAGGCTTACAAGAAGGCAGACTGCACTTTTCTTCCTCTTAATTCACCACAGAAATTAAACAGCAGAGAAGACAGAGAAGGGCAATATAATCTCATTTTAAAACAAATAGCAGATATAGCAGAGAAACAAGTGAAACCTATGCTGTTGTCAGTTTGGTTTCCTTTGAGATGCGTTGATACCAATCTTTTCCACCACTCACATCCATCCACTCCATGTTCCAGCTGGCACTGCTCCTACAGCATGCTAAGGACTCATGCAATTAGCAGTGCTGTCTTCTAGAGGCTGTGTGGAGAGTCCCAGACAAACCATCCCCGGGGGCAGCAGGATTGTTTTGTTTTAATCATTTTTTTTCTCCCTCTGTCCTTTTTAAGCACCTCCGGCAAAGGCGAGTGTAAAATTAATCAAGGGGTGAGAAGGAAGACATTCTTTTTATTGCCTCACTCAGAAGAGGGTATTTTTCAAGGTAGCCTCCAGAAATGACTGCTCTCAAACGCACACAGTGCTGTGATCACTAAAGAGCAAAGATTGCAGACAAGTTCCTTTTAAAAAAGGGGTAGAGAGGTGAGAGGTGAGGACTTCTTCAGCTGCTGGAGAGATTTCTTTCAACAACCAAGCAGGTTTTCCCTCGTGCCCTTGTTCAAGGAGCTGCAAGGAAACACACCATTGCTAGGCTTTCATTATCTGGTGGCCTCTGGGACAGCAACAAGTCACAAAGCAGAATAGACAGCTTTGTTAAAAAATTGCCTTGACTGAGGCTGGGGTGCAAAAAAAAATCAAAAATATGGGTGGCACCGTCAGGTGGACACTGTCTTGCAGAGAGGAAAAATGGGAGGACTATTGGAAGGTCCTCTCCCCTTCCTCCTCTCCGCACTGGCCCAGATGATGGAGGCTGCAAGCAGCCCTGTTCCAGCAGCTCGGAGTTCAGGTAATATGCTCCTGAATGCAGGGGGAAAAATAAAGTCACATGTGAGCTACTGCAAATGCATTTGGTTGAATTATTAATGGCAAATAGCAGACTTTTCTAATTTAGGCCTATTTGCTGTTCATGTATCATTAATAAATCCATTGCGGTTTCTACGATGTGACCTGTCTCATGGGCACAGATCACAGCTTCCTTCTCTAATGTTCACCTCTTTGCTGCATTCCAGTCTTTAAAACAAGGGGATAAAACATATTCGAGAATATTTTCATCTACGAACGAGATACATCAAAGGCAAAGTGGATATTAGCACACAGAGCAGCTTTCTTAATGAACGTTGTATAAATGCAAACATTTTATATGAACACGCATGAAAAATTATGGTGGACTGGAAAACAGCTTTGCCTATCTGAACTAGTTATCAAAATTTGACTCCTTCATTTTTGGAAACCATTTCTATTTCTGAAGCCCACTGCCAATCCTATTGCACATTTCTTCTATTTAGATGTTTTTGAGAAGAGGTGGCCCCAGTTTTTAGGGGACGTTGTTTTTTTTCCTGCTTTGAAATACATCAGCAAACAGCAAAGGACAGAATTCTGCCTTCCTAATGCCAGGTGTCTGCAGGGAGGGCTGTGCTGACCTGCAGGCTCAACAGTGGGGATGAGCTGCCTGTCCCAACCACCTCAGCTGCTTGCAGTGGGCAGCAGTCAAATATGCAGAGCTCAAAGGAACATTTTTGTAGGGCAAATGCATGATGCTCTCAGCCTCTGAGCACTGGGAGAGCATTGCATAGGGGGAAATCTACCTGTGGAAGGAGCCACTCCTCCTGCACCTGAACGTGCAAAGAACCTGCAGCGATGCTGTGGCTCTTTCTTCCCTTACAGGGTAATGCTGCAGATAGAACGAGCTGGTGGATATAAGAATTCTCAATTAGTGCATTGTTTGCAGTGTATTGATTGGAAAAAAAAAAAAAAAAATGAAGAAGAGGGGAGCAGGTGTTTTTGCTCTGTTAATGAGCACTGTCTGGAAACCAAAGGGAGACTCAGCGGGATTCTGTTAGAATACATAATAAATAAAGGCCTCTTTTTTTTTTTTTTTTTTTTTAACCTCTGAAGAATATGGATTTCCAAGACAGGGAGTATTGGAGAATATGGATTTCCAAGACAGAATGACAGCAAACTCTCATCTGAGAGAATATACTGAATAAGAAGCTATAGCAGTGGAAATAGTTATTTTTATCCCGACAGAAAGCTGTGATCTCAGTGCTCTGAGATAGAGGGCCTTGTGCATGCCCACAACATGAAAAGAAATGGCTGTACTGAAAGGCCAAGTTGCCCCTGACTCCCACAGGTACCTCTGCACCACACAACATGGTACCTGCCATATCCCAAACGTGCAGGAATATGCAGGAATAGGTGTTAAAATCACTGCCAGTTCCTAAAGCGGGTGCTAGAAAAGCACTCTGAGCTCTGGGGGGCTGCCTCTGCTTTTAGAAACTGGGCTTGGTTCAGGCATCCCCCACCACAAAATGGTGGGTGGTCCCCAAGCCATGGGTCTGAGCACAGTCAAGCAGACAGTGCAGTAAGGATGGGAATAAGTAACTCTGGTGCCCAACCATCTGTGTGCCTGTGCCCTAACAGCAGCCCAACTGCCTGCCTGCAGCCTCCTGCCCACAGCGCCCAGTTGTCCCCCTCTAAAACCCACTCTGCTTGATTTCACAGAGAGCCAGTAGCTCTCAGTAAAGGCCAGAGTGCCTCCAGCAACCTTACAAAGAACAAAGTAGAATCTGTGCCTATAAGCAGAGCAGCTGGAATTAATGAAATACTCCACGCAAAAACCTCTTCCTTTTTTTCTTAAAGACTAATGACACTTTGCACATGCAGCTGGCAGCTCACAAAAGCCCCTTGGTTCATCTTTCTAAAAACCAGTCTTCTGGTTCTTATTCTTGAACTGCTTACACAGAAACATATTCTTCATGGAAAAAGGGATATTATCCTATTTTGAGACTGATCTCCTGCATGCATAAAATTCAACGGGTGATACAAAACCTACTGCAAACTGAGCAAAATGGAGACTTTATTGCAGGTTGTTTTGAATGGCTTTCTTGTGTAACTGTAGTCTATCCAGAAGCACCTGTGCAGTTACACAAATGCATGGACTGTCACAGGCAGGCAGTTGTAAGCACCAGGTAATAATAATTCAGGAGTCAGCAGTTATGGCAATAGCTTATGGGTGGGCACATCAGCATAATTAACAACATAGTATAGAAATACCCAGAGAGAAACATAGCTACAACTACTCCTGAACAACTGGGTACAAGTTGAGGAATTCTTGGATTGTGCTAGCAAGAAATGGCTGCTTTACTGATGTGCTGCTCTGTGATTGACCTTGCAAGGCCAAAAAATCACCTATCCCACAAAAGAGACCTCATGGTTCATGACAAAGAAGGTACTATTTTTCTGGAAAAATTAAACAAGAAGAAATTCAGCAAAACAATTGCTGCTTTTCCCCTCCTGACTCTCTCTCTTCCAGATGAAGCATCAAAGCAGAATGCCATTCTCAATATCTACAGATCAGAGTGCAGATAACATGCTTCTTACTCTTGATTCTTCCCTTGGGTGCCCAAATTCAGCCAGAAACCCTGAGGCCAGGGGCCCTGCCACATCCAGGATGCTCAAGGCTTCCCTAAGAGAATTCAGGAGGTACCTCTGCCTCCGGTGCTACCTTGCTGAACACGTGAGGACTGTAAACTGTGCCCTACTATAAAATATTTGATAGCAGCACAACTGGTGTTAATGGGGCTTGGCAGAGCACACGTAGTTTTATGAAGTTCTACACCGAAAATGACACAATCAACCATTACCCACTAAAGCTAAATTTAATTTTCCTCTGTGCTGCTCCACAGCTAAGTGATATCCTTCTCCTACAAAAATCCTTCTCTTAAATAAAGCAAGAAAGGCAGCAGACCTTCACAAATTAGAGCCCCAGTCTTTCTCTGACTTTCCATTCACTAATTGGATTCATGCTAGTTTAAAAGTATCAGATGTCCTTTCCTGAAATAAAGGAGAAATATCATTGGCATCTCGGTTTGGCTAAAAAATAGCTGCTCTCTGAAAGAGGTAATTGGGGACATGGCAGCTCCTAAATCTGTTTGATCCATTCCAAGAAGTCTGTGTCTGTGGTGGAAGCATAGCTGCCCCAAATCTTTCTTGTGCTCCCTGACTGAAGTAACACTGATTTCTTTAAAAATAGAAACCAACAAAGCAAAATGAAAAAAAAGACCTGCACATCCAAAACTCAGAGGCCATTCATGCAGCTGTACTAAGAGATGAGAACTACATCAAATAGGCCTTAAGTATTGCTGTAAGTACTATGACTGAGCTCTGATACTGCTATGAGTTTCCAAATCCTCACTGCTGCTGCTATATAAACTCTGATCACATCAATTATATTTAAGCCTAGAAGACCTTTGCAAACTTCCTTGGAAATACTCTGAAACAAGCTTTGCAAATCTAAGCCAGAACCTATCCGAGACCCTGGGGAATGTGGCTGAAGAGCTGAAGAAGGAAAAGTGAGTCAATCACGATGTGTTGGGAGAAACTAAACAACAAACACAGCTGTGCTGTTGATTCCAGGCTTAAAACACAACAGAGCAGGTTCCCAGCTAGTGTACAAGGACTTCAATTCCTAGCCTGAAATGCTACTCCAGCACAGTCCTCAAATCGTGTTGAAAAGGCAGATGATTCAGAACTTATGTAAGATTTAATTGTTTTTAAGCTGGTCATTCTACACCGTGCTGCTTTTCAGCCTCCTTAGTTTACAATCAAGATAAAATATCATTTCTTCCCACCCCAAAGTCTTTTTCTGTCAGGCTCCAATCTGCATTAAATTTCTTCCTCCAGCTTACTCTCTTAAAAATTAAACAGCAGTCATACAGCATCGGATGCAGTAGATGGGAAACCCATCAGAATTGTATTAAACTTACAGAGCTGGCTTATTATATTGTCATAGGATAGATGACAGAAAATTTTATGTGGCTATCACCCATAAAAGCAAATTGAATATATACTCTTATGAAGCAGCCATCTTCATTTGAATACCATAATGAACCATTTTTAAACCATTTATGAAATGACATTATCAAGAGATTATCCAAAAAAATGAAGTCAGAAGTAACATCCAATTTTATAAACTGTAGTGACATTGAAGCTACCATTTTGGCCAGCAAAGAATCTAGCAAAAAATATACGTTCCACAAATCTTAGCAAATACTTTTAATTTCCTATGCAAACAGAAGTGAACAGGAAGCCACTCGAAACCCACTTACCTGTTGAACCAGTCATCCGTATAGCGGGGGTAGGGGTAGGGATCATTACTGCTGAAATCGTAGCTAGCTTGGGCATTCTGCAAAACACAAAGTTCAGTGAACGTGCAGGAAAGCAGACATGCTAGGTAAAGCAGAACACACATACCCACAGAAAATCTCATTAGGTATTGGGTTCTTTTTTCTCCCCTGGAAAAGAAAATGTCATTCCTTCTCTGTGAAATTCCTCTTGTTTACGTTTCAGCAAACACCATTTTGGACACCCAACACCACTCCCAAAAGTGCTTTATAAGAGGATTTAGGTCCTGTTTCAGCTTAATTTGATCGCCTCGCCAACATTTTCATGAGCTGTTAGGCTACTTAGTGAGGCAGGACAAAGATTAAACAGCATTTTCCAATCAGTATTGGAAATGACCAACACTTGGGGTCTTCCTTCTTACTAAGAAAAACACATTTCTAAACCATTTCAATAGCTATGAAATTTTTCTCAAAATTCCAATGTGAAAACTGTATTAACATTCAGGACATACGTGTCAAAATTCTCTTTGCATATTTTCTTGATCCTTCAGTTGTTTGAACAGCTTCATAAACGTGGCTGTCGGACCCTTCTGAGAATGCCATCCCAGCCTCTCCTTTTTTCACAATTTAGATCACTCATGATTTTGCCCCATCAGCAGAGCTGAGGACACTCAGCAACTTTTTGATGCTATATTTGAGAAGCAAGTGGAGTTTCAGAAAGTCAAGTGCATCTTCTTTCTTCCCTCTCAATGAAAAGAAATAAATTAAGGGTGACTGAAAATTAAGCTTTTAAAAATATTTAGAAGCTTCCTCCCAACTGTATGATCACAGAGTTTATATTTTAATAAACACCATAGACAAGGAGTAGAATTATGTTAATTCTTAATTAATGTACTCACATTCTTTTTAAGATTTGGCTGAGCATGCTATTGAAGATAATTTGAGACTCGTGTCTGAATAGCTTTGCTCCTAAAAACATTTCTTTTCAGCAAATTCTCAGCTCCAGGGGTGCAGGAATAGGCAGTCCATTGGTAGCACCAAAGTCTTTGGATTTTAGATTCAAAATCCCCAGCTCCCAAAAACTCTTGTGCCAGAATGAAACAGAGACAACACTGTCCTTGACCCTTGGAGGGTAAAACGAAGTATCTTTCTGGTTACTGTCCAGTGAGTTTTTTGGTCATCATTCCAGGAGCTTTGTTCTTTATATTTAATATGGACAATAAATATTCTGCAGTATTTGAATGGAGTCCAGGCTTGCAGAATGCCAGCCACATGGCTCAGTGCTGTTCTCCAGCTGAGATAGAGCCAAATACCTTATAAGTACCTTTACTGATCTCTCAGTATCTCTAAACTAAGGCCCTGATTTTCAGCCTTAAGATGCCTGCTAATAATTTCAGTTGTAGCCACAGGTTCTCAGTGCTTCTGAGCCTCTGTGCCCAGGTGCACATTTAATTTACCTCTTTTAATTATCACAACTGCTTATACAGCACTTTGAATGGCATGGATCTGTATGAGCAAAGAGTAAACAGAATATGACTTTTCAGCCAGGGAAGAAAGGGGAACTTGACAGTTGTCTATGAATCACAAATAGCACAGAGAAGGTGGACAGGGAGTTATTTACTACTTCTCATAATGCAAGAACTAGCAGGAATCCACAGAAATTACCAGAGGGAAGATTTAGAAGCAGCAGAAAACAGCAAGAAGTGCTTTTCCACAGAGCATATAATGAGTTACAAAATTCATTGGCCCCCAGCAATACAGAGGTCAAAAGCCTGAAAAAAAAGAGGTTAGACAAATTAATAGAAAATGAATCTGGAAGGGGCATTAGATGCTGTGCTTCCTCCTTCTCCAGTAGTCCAGAAAACTGCAAACACTGGAAACCAGGAGGCCAGAACCACGTAGGCATCTCATGGCCTCTGGCCTGGTGACTGTGCTGCTCCTCCAGCACCCACTCCTGGCTGGCTGTTGCTGGAGACTCTTTCAACTATTGCAGGAATTTAATGAGTAACACAAATTGTTCTGTGAGATGTGGCAACTCACGCAAGAGATGGATGATGTACCACAACTAGGGTCCTGTGTGACAAAAGCTCTGGGCAGCCTGGTCTGGTGGTTGGTGACCCAGCACATAGCAGGGGGGTTGAAACTAGATGATCATTGTGGCCCTTTTCAACCCAGGCCATTCTATGAAAAACCTTGGGGCACAAATATCCAGTGCAGTGAAACAGAGAAGGTTTGGATTCTGCAGTGTCCAGGGGAGTTGCAACAAGGATTTTCATCAAGGATTTGCACAAAGGGCCAGGTCTCATCCCACACATGGCCCTAAGAAGAAATGAGCATCATTAAAAACAAATGAGCTTGTCAACAGATGATCCAGTCCTGCTCTTTATTAACAAGCACAGTATCTACTCCTAGCAGGACAAGGTGGAAAAATGCATCCTATGGTAAAGTTAAAAAAGAAATGACGACTCTCTGAGCAATTTAATTAGAAGACAAAATCTACTCTGTCAGTCTAGACTTGGAAACCTTTGGAGATAAACAAATTCCAATCACAAATTAAATAAACTTTCTTATATTGCTGCCTTGGACTAGACATGGCCTGGAAACAATGCAGACTGCAGATAACTAAGCTTAGTTCCAGTGATTTCAGATCTTTTTCACACAGCTATGAGCTAACCGGGTTCTAAATGTAATTCAACATATTGGCAACTCCTTACTCAGTTAGAACTTCTGATTTCACTCTGGTTTCACTTCAGTGTACGGATGAGAATTTGAACTTAGTTTTGAGTCAGCTCAGGTTTTTTCCTCACCTGGAAGGAATGCAGTCGTACTGACATGGGCTCTAAGTTAACAGGAGGGCTGCTGAGGCTGATTTTTCAGAAAAACATGAGACATACAAGAACATCATGAAAGCTATCAACCGCTCCTGACTCTGTTAATTTCCTTGTGTAGAGAATTATAGATGGAAAAGTCCTTCTAGCTGTGCAGACATACCACTTGTGTCTAGAATGGTGATGGGAAAATGGATTCTACAAATGATGCAGCCCACTCTGCAGCAGACTGAAGCTCTGCTCTATGCCCCATGTAACCAACAGTCAGACTATGGAAAAGTTGCTTTAGGCAGGCTACAAACCAGGTTATGCAACACTCTTCCAAATCTTCCAGTTTTTACTCACTTGATTTTAGATGGCTGCATTCGGAGGAAAAAGTTATCTAATTTAGCAGGAACCATCGACAAAGTGCAAAATTAAGAAGAATTCTTGGAAAGAAAACAACTGCTGACTGCAAGATTTGTCTTCATTAAGGTCTTTGGAAAAAGACAGCGAGTTTCATCTTCATAAGCGAACATTCCACCCACGCTATGAAAGCTGTGGAACTGGTAATGAAACAGCACTGACGAGTACAAATGGACTGCTTCAAGTTCCTAATTTAAAGATCAAATTCTCAAATATCTAAGCTAGAACATATTTTATTTTTCCTTCCCTGTTCCCCCCAACCCCTACAGCACTGAATCAAAAAAGGAACGGCTTCAACTGGTAACCAAAATGAATCATCTTGTGTTTTGGGAAGTGAACACTAAAATCTGTGACCTGCCGCTCTCATCCACAGGCTGGCCCTTCCAGCAGGCAGCAAGAGGATGTTTATCACTAACTCAGGGATGAGATGGCAATGAAAACCAGTGCACATGAAGATCTGTAGCAGCACAGCGAAATAAAAATATATTGCCTTTCAACTCATGTGATTTGGTTTTCCAATTTTAATGTCCTACCAGTAGGTATTTCTCTTAGACTTGATTTCTCTGTCTGATATTTGGTTGTCAGTATCTGAGGTAGTTGCCCAGTCTTTTTCGACCAACAGCGGAATGATCGGATTCAGGAAGCAACTCAGTGCCATCAGTTTTAGGCTGGAGTTTAGACCTGGACGAGTCCTGAAGCATGGCATCAGAACAAGATCAATCCTACCCCTTGTGTTCAATCGATACCAGTTCCTTGTTGAAAAAAGATTTGAACCTGACATTCATCTATCACCAATACATAATTACATATAAATAATTTCTACTGTACAACAGAGAATGGCTGTTCTGCTATGAAAAGAGCAATTATCTTGTATTTTAAGGCACATATCTTATTTTACTATCTAGCTTTCTGCATCTTTATCCCAAATAAGATGCTAACAATAAATGATGATGAGCTTCTTTCAGTCATTTACTAAGTAATAGTTTATATACCAGGATACAAATGGATGACTTTTACCTGGGTATAAAATTCAGCTTTCCTTAAAAATAAGCTTTGCCTACCCGAGAATTGCCCTGTACTTTTAAAAATATATGCAGTACCATCTTCTCTGTAAAACATTCATTCTGTATAATACAACAATAACAGTAAATCAATTGTCCCATGTGTTGCTCAGATCTGTAATAAAATTATGTACCTTGAGTAATGCAGCAAGCCCATAAATTTTTATATAGCTTTACAAGCCTCTAAAGAGTAATTCACATATAATTCTCTTTTCCTCCTTAACTCATGAAATTTGCCTATGCTTACATGAAAGTCCATGAAACAAACAATTAAAGACAAACGTCCACTGGCCACAATCTGATTCTATTAATGATGTTAAAGCACTGATGTATTTAGCCCAGAGATTTAAAACAAAAGAAACATTTTCAACAAAAGTGGCATTTGTCTTCCCTCTTCAAGAAACTGCAATTCCTTGTAGATCTGAGACAGTGAAATACCTTTTACTTGTTTGAGTTCTTTACTCATCCAAAGAGGGAGCAAACCCCCGAGCTCAAATTACAACGTACAACCTCTTTGAGAACTGTACTAAAATAACACTGCATGTCATACGGTGGGAAATGAAATTCAGTTTTGTAGACTCAAGCCTAAGAAAATAGAAATGCTTGCTATGAGGCAAAGAAAAAGAGGCAACGTGATATTTTGCCTAGGTGGAATGCCATAAAGCTTAAAGGTTACTAATGAAAAAGAGTCAGTAGTCATACAGTAACCATCTTCCCTCCGCCATGGGAACCGTGCTGTTCTAGATCTTGGTTGGATTTTTTATTTTG